TGCAGATGGTGACTGCAGCCATTAAATTAAAAGACGCTTGCTCTTTAGAAGAAAAGCTTTGACCAACCTAGAGAGCTTATTAAAAAGCAGAGACATTACTTTGCCAACAAAGGTTCATTTGTCAAAGCTATAGTTTCTCCAGTAGTCATGTATGGATGTGACAGTTGGAATATAAAGAAAGCTGAGCACTGAAAAATTGATGATTTTGAACTGTGGTGTTGGAGAAGACTCTTGAGAGTCCCTTGGACAGCAAGGAGATCCAACCAGTCCATCCTAAAGGAAATCAGTCCTGAATATTCAATGGAAGGACTGATGATTAAGTTGAAACTCCAGTACTTTGGCCACCTGATGTGAAGAACTGACTTATTTGAAAAGACCCTGATACTGGGAAAGATTAAAGGCAGGAGAAGAAGGGGATGACAGAGGATGAGATGGTTGGTTGGCATCACTGACTCAATCGGCATGAGTTTGAGTCAACTCCAGGAGTTGGTGATGGACAGGGAGGACTGGCATGCTGCAGTCCATGGGGTTGCAGAGTACTGAACTGAATTCTGACTGGTGTGAAGTGATATCTCATTGTAGTTTTGATTTGCATTTCTCTAACCTTGAACATCTTTTCTTCTAATCTTGAACATCTCTAACCTTGAACATCTTTTCATGTGTTGTTAGCCACCTGTATGTCTTCTTTGGAGAACTGTCTGTTTAGGTCTTTTTCCCACTTTTTGATTGGGTTCTTTTGTTTTTCTGGTATCAAGTTGTATTAGCTGCTTGTATATTTTGGAAATTAACCCTTTGTCAGTTGTTTCATTTGCTATTATTTTCTCCCATTCTGAGGGTTGACTTTCCACCTGGCCTTTAGTTTCCTTTACTGTACAAAAAGCTTTTAAGTTTAATCAGGTCCCATTTGTTTACCTTGAATATGTATATTTCTTTTTTAATCAGGTACTGACTGTCATAATTTTTTAAAGTTACTTAAAATTTTCTTGTAATAAAATCATGTTGGCAGTGAGATCATGTGTAAGCAAACATCTGGCAGAGTACCTGATGGGTCAGATAGGTACCAGTTATTGAAGATTAAACCATTTTCTCCAAATAAGGAGATGCTGCTGAAGAGCTTCTAGTTGCTCCTTTACTGGACTTAAAATATTGGAAGGGAAGAAGAACATCATTAGTACTTGTCCCAAGAGCATCATTTAAGAATCAGAGAAAACACTTTACCCTGTTTGTCCAGTTATGGACACTTATTGACTTAGCTTTATTGGAAGCCTAATGAGATTTAAGCTGGTTAAAAAAAAAAATCAAAGGATGGAATGAGTTAAAATCTGGATTTTATGTTGTATAGGATTAAAAGGAAAAAAAAATGTTGGTTTTTGTAATGAAAAATTCCTTCATATTCTTTTCCATAATTTTCCCTTCTGTACTCAAAGGCCATGGCAGATCCAAACAGAACATTTCTGAGCCTTATTAGAGATGTGCCCTGTCTGGGTGACACTGCCTCATGTCAGGTGACATGCTCCAGGTTTAGAATGCTGCTGCTGCTGCTAAGTCGCTTCAGTCGTGTCTGACTCTGTGTGACCCCATAGACAGCAGCCCACCAGGCTCCCCCGTCCCTGGGATTCTCCAAGCAAGAACACTGGAGTGGGTTGCCATTTCCTTCTCCAATACATGAAAGTGAAAAGTGAAAATGAAGTCGCTCAGTGGTGTCTGACACTTAACGACCCCATGGACTGCAGCCTACCAGGCTCCTCTGCACATGGGATTTTCTAGGCAAGAGTACTGCAGTGGGTTGCCATTGCCTTCTCCGGGTTTAGAATGCAGAAGCATCTTTATACCATTAGCGGGAAGCACCTCTTCCTACTAGCTGATGCAGCGCTACATTGGCACACCTCAGTCCCCACAGCTGTCTGCAGCAGCTCTGACTGAAATCCTACCCATTATCCCCAGAAAAAGCATTTTTTTAAGTAAGTATAGGTTATGAAAAATGTAATTTTAGATATAATTCACATAAAAGTGCACATGTTATCTGGGTGACACATAACTGGTAATCAGATATACATCTGCTTTCTTAAAAACATTATGACAGTTGCATACAGAGCAGGCCACAGTATTGTTTTTAAAAATGAATTTATTAAAATGCTCATAATTATAAAAAGAATATTAAAATGCACAGAAATTTGCAAAATATTACAAACTTTACATCTTATGCCACAGTGTATGAAAAGCATCATGAATATTTCAGTTTTACTTAAGCTGTTCATATGTTTTAACATCTTAAAATATAATATGGACACAAGAAAATGGTACAAGAAGTGTTTCAACAAAGAGCACGTCCTGCTCCCCTATTGTGAATTAATGTTTTCTGAAATTCAAGATGCACGTGCAATTATAAGGGAAGACTTTCAGTGATAAACAGTTTGCAAGATGTTTAGTTTTCAAACAAAAACAAAAGCTTTCCCATCCTATTGACATAACTAAAATATCAGGGATATTTAGAGAAAAATCTCCTGAGTATTTTGGTCTAATGCTTTGATCTGTTAAAATTCACAGGCATCACAAAAGGATACAAAGTAAAATTTCTCTAGTGGTTAACACAGGGCAGGCCTAGGGCCAGACTTTCCCTTCATGGGCCCACTGCCACACCCATCCATCTTGCCAGGGGGCTGTCTCTGCTCGCATTTACAGATCCAGCCCACAAGTGCCTGCAGACACAGCCCCACATGTTCATCACCCACAAGTCAGCACTAGACTTGCATGAACAATGTCGGTGTCACAGACGACCCTAGGTCTCCACTACAACCTGGCCACTTGGGGAGTATTGGCAGTGTCACACATCACATTTGCTGCCTTTAAAAACGTAGAGGTTTTCTTCCCTCCTGTCCACAGAAGCACATTTTGAACTATGAAGACGATTTATGAAAACAGAAATGCACAATTCAAGTTCTATTTTATATACAAGAAGATAAGGCAAGGAACATTTCCTTTTTTATAGCTCCACAAACAGTGAGTAACTGCCAAATCCAACACTAGGAGACAGTCCTACACTTCAGAGAAGAGAAGAGGTAATACGAGAGGAAGAGGCACCACTTCCAGGAGCAGGGTCCCAGGTGAGTGGGGGAAGGGACGAGAATGCTTCCCCACCGGGAAGAAATGCATTTCTCGCTCCGTGACCAGACCTCATGAGGCCTGTCAGGAGCACTCTGATCACACATACCCTTAACATTACCAAGAAAGTTAGTGAAATGATCCTGATCCACTGGGACAATTCAAAAGGCCAGAATACTGTTTCACTGAATCCTACATTAACACTCCCCGCCCCGCCTCCACCCTGGTTTGTTAACATTCATGGCAGGCAGGCAGGCAGGCAGAACTATGACCTGGAGTGAAGCTGCTATTTTATAGCAAGCCTGTCAATTTGCTCACTGAAAAGTGTTTCCTTCTCCTTCGCTGTTGGGATTCTGAGTGCCTCGGCTCCTGTGGCACCTGGGCATTGAGCAGCATCTTAATGGGTGGCGAGTGGCCCATTTAGAGAGAGCGAGGTGCCAGACACTCTCTCCTGCACCCAGCCCTGCCCCGTCACCAGTCACAGGTGAGAGGTACAGACCCTGTGTCTTCTCTAGAGCCTATCAATCCAGCGGGCTGGGCATCCAAAAGGCAGTAAGGTGCAGTAAGAATGCTGAACTGAATAAATCGAGGGCAAGATGTGCACGGTGGGACAGGACTTCAGCAGGAAGTTACCTCCAGCTGACAGCAGGGTTTGTGACCAAACCAAATTTTTTTGACCCTTAATTGCCTGATTGGTTTGAGAGGAGGCTGAAAATTCAAATCAAGTCCAGTCTCTTTTCTTGTTTGGGAATAATCTGGGTATCCTCCTGTTTCTCCGTCTCCCTCCCTAAAAACACTCCCCTGGTGCAAACATGCAATTACAAACACATTACTGGGCAGAAAGTAAGAGAAGGGAGGATGTACTGAGCTACCTTCACTATGGCAGATGCTTTGGTAGGCTGATCACTAGGATGTGCAGAACCCCTCTTAGGAACACAGTGTGGTCACACTGAGGAGACCTGTTCCCTTGACGTGCGCAGCACTGTGTTGTTACAATGGCTGTGAGCCAATCACAAGGATCCTTGCAATACTGTACTTCTTAGACCTAATAGATAAAGGGCAACTGGTGGGAACTTGATAGGCTCATCTTTTCCAAACCATTATGTTGATAAATACATAATTTTAATCACTTGATTTCATGTTTTTCAAGATACGACATATCTTTAGAAGATGTAAATTATCCTGATCAATAGCACAAAAATGCTCAGAAATGCCATCTTCATTTCAATCCATTAAGAGTATTTCTCCAAGATGGAAAGACAGGCCAAGATGAAGACTGAAACTATTTTCTCTTATTACCTGAGGTTTCCTTTTCTATAGGAACGTGATAATACACCTAAATATTGTAAAGTCTTGGGTCTATCTGCATCATAATACAGCATTCAAACTGAATTCTATGTTAGATATTTTTAATCACACAACGTAAACTAGCATGTCTAGCCTTTAATGATGGTATTGTAATGGAAGGATAACTCTGGAACAGGTCTAGCAAAAGTGAAGAAATAAAACAGTGCCTAAAAATAAAAAAAAGATCATGTGCTTGAGAACAGAAAGGAATGAAAATAATCAAATGAGGAAAAAAATCCACTCTGCTTTGGTAGATGTTGTTTCTTTAAGCACATGAAGAGAATTCCTGTGTGTGATTAAAATTCCAATTTATCCAAAAAAGTAACATTTTTGGTCTTCCTGGTGATTAGTTTTATGCCCTTCTTCAACTCAATTTTACATTTTCCAGTTCCTGTATCACTAACTGAAACTGAAAAATAATCTGCATGAAGATGGTGATAGTTAAGACTCATATTTGCCAAAGTGATTTAACTTGAACATTCTCATTAGTGATTCATAATAAATTTTGACAGAGCTAAATTCTTTAAAGTGCTTCTCAGAACATAAAGCTCTTAATCGGATTTTGGTCGTAAATTGTTATCTACTACTGCTCCTATCATCTTCTCGGCTATGACTCCTATGTTTTTGGTCATGTCTTTGAGGTGATTCTCATGAAGAAGCTTCTGGGTTAGGTATTTTTCTCTCTTGATCTTGCTCTTCGTGCTTTTCGATACATCTGGAATTGCATATGAAATGAAAAACTTCACAGAATAGATGACATGCTGAGGGAGAGAAAAAAAAATGTCAGTCACAAACAGATGGAGGGGAACACAGAGCTTCTTCGATTTACTTTGCTGGTCATTACAGCAGTGTATTAGGACAGGGCAGTAGGTATTTAAGCTCTACCTCCATGGCATGGCTCTGCCATGGATCTATATTTTGTTGCTTCATAAATTTCAACCATACTATTTGCTATGTAGAGAAGAATATATCTCCCTAACATCTAGAACATTCACCATGGCACTGATGATGTTATGACATTTTTATGTGTGTTCCTTTCCTGTCTTATTCCCAGGCCTCATCCCCAAAGGTAAACACTAACCTATCTGTCTGAGTATATGTAGATTATTTTCATTTATTTTTGAATAGTTTAACAAAGTATGTATATATCCCCAAAAGAATATCTTGTTGAGTTTTTCTCACTTTAAGCCTTATAAAAACAGTACAATACTGTATGGTACAGTCTTTCGAAATTGCTTTTTTCCATTCAAAGTTAATTTTTAAGATTCATCTATGTTACTGTGTACAACTGTAGTCCATTTTCACTTCTTTATAATATTCCACTGTGCGAACATACTTTATTTGTTCCCCTATCAAAAAGTATTGGGTTAGTTCCTAGGTTTTGGGTTAGAAACAATGATGTTGGGAACACTCATACACTTGGATTCTGGAGGATACCTGTGAGGGTTTCTTAAGAGCGGCACCTGGGGTGGAACTGTTGAGACCCTATGTTACATGAACGTTCGATTTTACAAGATGGCACCAAATATTTCCACAACAGCTGGCACCACCACCAGCAGTGTGTGATGATTTCAGTCACTCTTCATTGTTGTCTGCACTTATTATCATCACTTGTTTTTTTTTTTTAAATGAACATGATGACTATGAAATGGACTTTATTTCACTTTGGGCTTTCCTCACATTTCCCTGATGACTAATGAGCTTGAAACCTTTTTTATTTATGCACTATTCAAAAACCCTAACCTAACAAGAGAATAGAGATAACACAGAATAAACATAATTAAGAACAAATAAATTACACATAGCATTAAAATGTGTAAGAACTATGGGGAAAACAAGTGATATAAGCTAAGTAAAGCAGAGTAACAGTTATTAACAGTGTTATGGTGGGAGATAACATTTATACAGATTTTATGTAGATCAGTTTAGACATGCCTCACTGAGCAAAGACTTTAAGGAATTTAAGGAGTTAAACATCAGGAGAAAAGACAGTTTAGGCAGAGGGAACACCTAGCACAGAGTCCACACGGGGGAGGCCTACTGGGTGTATTCCAGGAAGGCTGAGCGAGTAACATCAGGGAGGTAATAGAGCATGGCTAGATTTTGCTGGGCTTTAAATGCTATTATAAGGACTCTGGCTTTTACGTGGAGTGAGCTGTGAAGACAATAGGGAGTCCAATTAGTAGACTGCTGCCCAATTTGGGCAAGAAATGACGGTGGCTCCAATTTGGGGGCAGCTGCAAAGCTGGTAAGAAGTGGTCAGATCTATGATATATTTTCAAAGCAAAAGCTAACAGGATTGGATGTGGAATAAGCAACAGAAAGAAAACAAGGGGGCCTTCAAGAATTCTGGCCTGAGCAACTGTTCAGATGAACTGGCATAATTGAGAGGGGCAGGGAAACTGTGGACAGAACAGATTCAGGGCAGGGTAGGGAGGAAGAGTGGATTTAAGAAAATATAGGAATCTAGGGCAGTAGATTTGAGGTATCTGTTAGATATCCATGCAGAAAGGCCAAGTATGCAGTTGGATTGATGGGTTAAGCTCAGGAGAGAGGTTTTCTGGGGATATCCATTAATGAGTCACAGGCATACAGATAGCACTTAAAGTCTCCAACTGCAAGAGATCACCAAGGCTGTGAGTAGAGAGAAAAGACAACCAAGGAATGAGCTCCAGGATCATTAAGAAGAAAAGGAAGGGCTGGCAAAGAAGCTAAAAATGGGACTGCCTACTGAGGTAGGAGGAAAGGCAAAATATGTGTGTTCCTGGGAGCCAAGTGAGGAAGAGTCTCAAGGAGGAGTGATCAGTTGTGTCAATGTTTCTTTAAGTTAGGTGGTGTGAAAAACGGAGAATATTTTTAATTCCCCCTTTGTCATTGTTAATCTTTGATAATTAGTTCATATTTGCTTATCCCAATCTGGGAAAAAAACTGAGGTCTAAATTAAGGATACTTTTCTTCAGAGAAGATGTGCACGCCTATCTGCTCTGAGACAAATCTAGCCTTTTGTGGGGTCCCTGGCCGAATCTAAGGGTCTTAAATTCAGCTCTTCTGCCTCACTCTGACCCAAGGCTTGGTCTCTTTGAACCTTTAGTTGGAGGCCTGAAAACAGAACTTGTTCTCAGAGCACTCCTGAACTTCAGGGGTGCTCACTACCCTATCTTAAGCCATTATCTTTTTTTCCTCTTTTTATATTCTCTTTCCTTCTAGTAAGCTTAAAACTGCAAAGGAAGTTATGTTTCTAGCTGGTTCTAAATGTTTCATAGTGATATGGCCCCTCACAGTATCCAGTCCGTCATGATATCAAATGGAGCAGTCTAAACACTGGCAACTACATATTTGAGTATAAACTAGTAACTCTTGTCAACATATCAGATACTGTACTCTACTTGTGATACAGTGAACTAATGATGGACTACTTTCCTCAGTTAATTTTTGATAACTATTAAAAAAAATACTAGAAAAATTATCTAAGCCAAGTAGCCTGTCCCCAAACCAAATACCTCCTGTTTCAGCCTGCTTAGCTGCTGAGAAGAACCATGTGTTTAGTTCTAGTCAGTGAGATGCAGGTGAAGGTCTGCTCCAGGGCTTTTGGCAAAACTTTTTCTTTCCTAACTAGGAACAGGTATGGCTAGCACCGCCCTTTTTCCTTCTTCCTGCCTAGAACATAAATGTGTTATCTGGAGTTGTGGTAGTCATATTACAACCACAGAGTGACATGCAATGAAAGTAAACCTACAGAAGACAGATACATTCCTTACACCAGGGATTTGGAATTTGTCCAGGAGTACTCACCTGCTTCCAGTGAAATCTGTTACGTGGGAAAAATCAACTCTTACTTGTTTAAGCCACTGTAGATGGGTTTTTTGTTTCTTGCAGTTAAATGTAATCCTAACTGACCACACCAATCAAGTCACTTTTGAACCTTTAGAATTTAGTAGTAGTTATTCGCTCAGTGTAAGAAGTAAAGTTGGCTAGATCAATTTCAAATTGATAGCTGCCTTAATATTTTTCAGAGCTGGTAAATTTCAGCGATGTAAAAAACTATTATAAGAAGGTATAGTGTGAAAATGCAATACAAATAAACTATTACAGCAATAAAAGTTTCTCCAGGAAGATAAGCTATCTTATTTATCTTGAATAAACCTCTTCATAGCCTAATATGGAGCCCAGTTCTCCAAATAAAAAGGCCTTCAATTAATACTGAACTGAAAGAAATTGAAACTCCCTAAGCCCACATGCTTTTAACTTTACAGCAGATAACCAACTTCATTTAATTACTGAGAGCATTATGGGTATTCTCAGGTCAAATTTAAATGTTATAGAAATAATTATTAGCAAGAGGTCAGACATATTGTGTATTTTAAGTCAGAAATGGCAACACTTAAAAGTTAATAAATGGTTTGCAAATACACTGCCTTATAAACTATTTCAAAGTGAACTTCCCTTACCTCCATGACAATGATAAAAGCCAGCTTGGCTGCAATCACATGCCAATAATAGATGTTGTGTTTATACTCTTGTTCGTGTCCAGGAGGGTACCGGAAATCACGATACCTGGAAAAAAGATGGGAGCATTTCAGGAGATTGTTCTGCCTAATCAAATGTAAACAAGGGCCCATTAAAAAGGTCATGCTTAATGCAACATTTTTTTAAATTGGTCATCTCATAAATTTTCTCCAAGGGTTTCTGGGTTTGTTTGTTTTTTTTTTTTGGCCGTGTCATGTGGGGTCTCAGTTCCCTGGCCAGAGACTGAACCTGGGACCACGGCAATGAAAGCCCAGAATCATGACCATGAGGCTACCAGGGAATGCCCAGATTTTCTCCAAGAGTTTCATTTGATGACAAAACCCTGAAATAACTACTCCAGTAATACTTCATTTAACTTACAAGATGGTAATGATGGTTTCCATCTTTGTAAAAAAAGAACAGAAACATCAAATTTTATCCCTGCTTCCTCAAAAGAGTGCAACTAAAACAAATTACCATATTTTCAGAAACATGCTACAGAGAATATTACCTATTTTTTATAGTTTTCTTACCTAATTTCCTTGTTGTCAGACATCATATGCTATTGCTTGAGTGTATCTCCCTTTGGCAGCAAATCTCTAACTTTCCACCTGTAACCTATTTTTTAATTTTTAAAGTTTAATTCTAAAGTTTAATTACTCTTTAGAATTATGTAAAGTAAGAGTAAGCAGATGCAGTGTGTGATTCTGAAGAGGCTTTGCTATGTGTAATCTAGACACATTTATTTGGGGCTTATTTATGGTTTTTTCAATGGGGCTTATTTTATGGTAGTGGTGTTGAGAATGTGAATAGGAGACAGCTTTGAGGAGTTCAAATTTTAAAGTCTCTTTAGGTTTTAGACTTTGAAAAAAACAAAACAACTCTACGATACCATGCAGTCAACAAACATCAATCAGTAACTTAGTTGATGTCCACTGTCCACAGTTGATCTTATCAGCCTTTAAAATCAATGCAGAGAGCTTTGGAATACTTTTAGAGAACACTGCTAGGCTGGGCTGAGGTATCGACTGTCTTGTCTCCGTATTGCTTTGTTAAGTGATGGTACTAGTCTGTCATCATTTAGTACCATCAGGTTGTGGTTGAATAAAATATGAGTTGAAACAACTGAATCATCTTACTTTCTGGAACTCTCAGGGTTTCTTCATTTCTAAGACGTAAGACTTTCCCCCTGAATAAGTCTTTCTGTAATCGTTTTAAACTCTCATTTTAACATCTTGCCATATGGGGGCTTCCCTGGTGGTACAGTGGTTAAGAATCTGCCTGCCAGTGCAGGAGACATGGGTTCAATCCCTGGTCCAGAAAGATCCCACATGCCATGGACCAACTAAGTCCCTGCACCACAACTTCTGAGATAGTGCTCCGCAACAAGGCAAGCCACCACCACGAGAAAGTTCAGCAGCGGTAGTGACGATCCGGCACGGCCAGAAATAAACAAATAAACCTTTTAAAAAGTTACAGGGATACTTTACAATTTGTAAAACATAAAATACAATCCTGCCTTACGGTTTGGCTTGAAAGTTCTAATCTTAATCTATAGTAACTTTTATATTTTATACTTTTTTAAGTCTGATTGAAAAGAAAGCTAGAAAAAAAATATCTAGCAACTTTATTTAAATAATACCAGATAGAATATTACAATGAAAGTCCTTTAAAAGAAGAAGTGTATTTTTATTTTTTATTTATTTTTTAAATTTAATTGTACTATTTTATTACTGTCAAGTAGGCTTCAGAATCAGTGTCACATACTAAAAACAATATTCCCCAAATTATTTATTTATTTATTTTTTTGTTTTGAAATACTTTTTTTTTTTCATTTATTTTTATTAGTTGGAGGCTAATTACTTTACAATATTGTAGCAGTTTTTGTCATACATTGACATGGATCAGCCATGGACTTACATGTATTCCCCATCCCGATCCCCCCTCCCACCTCCCTCTCCACCCGAAGAAGTGTATTTTTAAACACTTGTAAGCAGAACTTGCCTGCATGTGTAATATTTAGACCCAGCGTACGGACTTTCCTTGACTCTGCTTTTAAAGTCGGCAGTATTGAAGATGGAGAGACTTATGTTGATGTATCCTTCCATTGTGTAGTCTGGGTGGTCCCCATAGGGCGGGATGGAGAAGGACCAGTAATATACCAGGCGGGGGATCATGTCTGATGTGAATGCAATGATCATGGCCTATGTTGGAAGAAAATGGTAGAGAGGGTATTAATTTAGAGCATTTATAGCTAGGGTTAAAAGACATGCCAAAATTACATTTTCATCAGTTGAGTTTTTTAAATTAAAGATTTAGAATTGTCAAATGGATATAAGTAGTGAATGTCCTAAAACTTTTGAGCAGCTGCTTTAAAGTAGTTTGTTTGCTTTTGGTCTTTGAAGGGAATATCCAGCAGTTCACCTGCAGTTCAAAAGCAAAGCCCTGATAGTTGCCTATTATGTATCTTAAGCACAGTAAGAATAATTGTAGACTAGGGTATTGTGGATAACTCGAAGAGCTACTTGCATATGTTACATGTAACTTATATTTTTAAAAATTAGAATATAATAAAATTCAATTAACTCTGGAACACTACTTGATAAAATTTAATCTTTATGACTTAGAAGGCCCTTTTGCATGTGAAATAACAAGATCAGTATTGTGAAAATAAGCTGGCTTTATATGATTCCTTTGTAGATAAATAATTGATAAAAATTGCTTTTTTAATCACTTGTCTCTTAAAAATAGAATACTAACTGATAACAAATATTTTCCTTCAAATTTATACTTTTTCCCCTATAGTATCTTGACTTGTTGAGATAACTCAACCTCACAGTCTGATTTAAACTTTCAGTATATACTTATGTCTGTTGCTTCATTAAAGAGCAAGAATTCTTTATTAGTCAATAAAATATAGTAGCAAGAAATTGTGTTGGGATTGTTCTATTCACATAATCAAGCAATGATATCTATTTTGTTAGACTTAAGTGTCTAAGCCTTTCAACTTTCAAAAGGTTAAATGGATAAAGTCAGAAAGATTATAGTTATCAAAAAACTTTAAGAGAGTTTAGTGTTTCCAGATTAAAGGAATAAATATGGATCAGTCTTAAATCTGAATCTGTGTCAGGCAGACATTCATAAGGATCTAAAGCTATTATTAATTACATGAATTCTCTCCAGAGTTCAAATTTGGGCTTTAAACTCTCCAACATGTAAAACCGGTGTCACGGAAGGACAAAGTAATGAATATACTTCAATCCAAATTCTATGTGAATAAACAAAGCTAAATGTTTCAGTCATTCCTGAAGCAGAAGAACAGACATGTTTTGCACAACACGATTTTAACAGTATTCATCTGAACATATGGTTTAGACACAGTGAGACCACAAGCCAACAAACAAGATCTCATGCAAAGCAAGAAAAACAACTGAGGGGCTTTTCTACTGCAAAATTTCCCCTCCCAGAACCAGCTTTGTCATTTCCTCTGGTGTAAAGTTTCTCTGGGTGTGTATTCTTGCCTGTCGGGGGTGGTGGTGATGGTGTAAGGCGAGACTATTTAACGTCTCCCAGATTTCAATAGATTAAAATTTCCTGTTATCATTTAACTCAACTAGAGCTTTTTACAGAATCACCTGCAGATTTGCTTCAAGAAGCTATACAAATTCCAACAAGGAAGATAATTCTATTGTCTTCTGACAAGACACTTTTTCCTCCTGAATTAAGCTGCTCTGAGCCACAGTGCAAGAGCACAAATAAATGCAGTGTGCTTCATTTCCCATGCTGTTCCAAACACAATTTTCCATTTATATCAAAATAAATTAAAATTGGTCTTCAATAGCAGATGCTCTGGCATGACGCAACAATGTAATTCTGCTTATTTATTGAACCAGCAGCCTTAAAATGAATGATTTTATACCAAACTCTGGCCTGATGCCCTTTCAAATCCTGAGGAGCTGTTCTCTTCTTCCTCCTTCCTAAAAGTTCCCCTATGATGGAAAGCTAGCCGTTACTGAGCATGTGAGGTTGGGAAGGCACAAATTAGGCATGTGAGAGGATAACATACATGTTTAACTCTTATAGAATTATATGCAAGAGGACCTGCATCTTGGAGTCTCTAACATCTTAATATGGAAAAAAGGACAGTCCATAGTGTAATTGGGCTTCCCTGGTAGCTCAGATGGTTAAGAATCTGCCTGCAATGTGGGAGACCTGGGTTCAATCCCTGGGTTGGGAAGATCCCCTGGAGAAGGGAATGGCAACCCATTCCAGTATTCTTGCCTGGAGAATTCCATGGGCAGAGGAGCCTAGTGGGCTACAGTCCATGGGGTCGCAAAGAGTTGGACACGACTGACCAACTAACACTATGTCACTATAGTTTAACTGATAATTGAATAAGCAATTTTTCTAGTGTATAGTAAGCCAGCACCTGAATTATAAGAACAACTGCCGGATGAGACCCAGTAGCATCGATGAGTGGGTACACATGTGCCTGTGTGCACACACACGTGCAGGTAGAGCTGCCTTGAAGACATGGCCAATATTCCATCTGCACTAATGGTGAAGAGCCACGCTGGGGCGATGAGGAAAAGGTGCCTCATGGAACTAAGACAGGACGCCTGAGTAATGGGGAGTAGGAGTCAGTTGAATTTTCTGGTTAGTTGAAGGTCAAATAAAAACCTTTTAGTTCCAAACCCTGTTGCTAAAAATTTCCTTAAAGCACGTAACTCCACGTTCCAGCCTGGCTTCATGTCATATAGTATACTGAACATGACAGATTCATACTTTCATGGCCGTGGAGCTTGAAGGGCCTCACTGTCGTATTTCTGAACATCAGCCTATGTTTTGCAGCGCAGTGGATGCTGAAGGTGGGGGTTCTTTGGGTGAATGGAAATGGATATAACCTTACAGTTGTTTTCGTGTGTGTGATTTACCAACTTTCTCCAAAAAGGAGAGACAGGAGGTGATCCAAATAAACTGAGGGTTCTTGGGGGTGAGAGCTGGGTTCCAGATAACTTATTGTGTAAAACTGTGACCATGGTCTAGACCGTGACATGTTGTTAAATTCTTGTGCCTCTAGTTTCGACACCTGGCAAAGCTTACGGAGTTGCTATAAGCAATGCTGTGTGATGAAGATGCTAACAGAGTGCGTGCATGCACGCGTGCTAAATCACTTCAGTTGTGTCTACCTCTTTGCGACCCTATGGACTGTAGCCCACCAGGCTCCTCTGTCCATGGGATTCTCCAGGCAAGAATACTGGAGTGGGTTGTCATGCCCTCCTCCTGGGGTGATAGCAGAATAGCTGCTAATACCCCCACGAGGACCAGGCTCTGTGCATCCCAGGCACTAACTCACTAAATTCCCCATGCACCCTTTGTGGTATATAACCATCTGAAAACATGTGACAGGGAAATCATTCAATCTACAGATGACAAAAGGAAGCTCGGAAGTGTTAAGGTCTGGGCGGACGCCTCTCAGCCGGGAGCCTGACCCACAGGCACTGCCAGGCTCTTCTGTTTCTACAAGGGCTCATGGGAAAGGCAGGGGACTCAAGGCAAGTGGGACTGGATTAAGAAGTTAGACCTGGAATATTACTTTGTTAACCTGGGAGTCAAACTGGCAGTGGAATAAGGGAGGAAATAACCTTGAGTGTCTGGGTATCTCTGGGGAAGGAGACTCCCTGATGGGCTGGCATGGGGACTGCTCCGCTTGACAGCCCCCTGCTGACCGTGGGGGCAGCAGTAGGGAAGCAGACGGACGGTGCAGACTGGCCCATAATCAGAACAGATGGAAACAAGTGAGTCCTGTTCCCTCATCACTCAGACATGTGCAGGACGTGAAGGTGCTGAGCTAATGACTAACACTGCAAAGACCAAGGGTGGGGCGAGGAGGAGAGCTGGGACCTGCCCTAAGTCCGCCTCCTTGAAGGACCTCTGTCCCATGACACAAGGAAGGTCAGGAATGATGGGGAATGCACAAAGCACGTACTTCTCCATCAAGTAGTTACTAGTTTAAATTGATAGTTTGGAATATACAGTGAAACATGGTGGAATGACTGTTCGTATTTTAGGGTCTACAAACTCTAAATGGATAGATTTCTATTTCCATTATAAAAGCACTATTTGATAATTCCTTTTATAGTCATGTGAGGATTAAAAGTTAGTACTTACTGTTATTATTATTACCATGTTTCTACTGAATAAAACTAATAAATGAACAACAAAAGAATAATAGTCACTATTCTTAGCAACTGCCTCTGTAAGAGCTCTTGTAAGTCACCAATAATAATTATAAACAAAATACATTAAAAAATAATAACAACAGTTACAGCGACTATGTTGTTTATGTGGATGAAAGTATTAGCATCTTCCTCCCACATTATGAAAAACACTGGATTCCTTAGGAAGCAACACTAATGCAGTTTTGGACTTTTCAAGGTCTTTACCCTGCGAAGCCTATTTACTCACATTGGTCACCACAGCCAGAATTGCTATTCCTTGCATGATGGGCTGCCATGCTCCGATGTCCCGGGCTTTTTCAGGCACCATGCGTCTATACTGGGTAGTCAGTTTCCACGCGTCCACTCTTATTTCCAATATATTGTTCACCAGAGCCAACAGAGGGGCCAGTGGAAAAGAGGCCACAAATAAGGTGACGAACCCAAACTGAATAACTGTCAATGGAACGGACACACATCATGGAGTGGTGGATGGATGGGAGGACAACACACATTCCTTTACTCTTCTAAAGAGAAAGGCAAACAGTGAACTAAATCCCAAAGAGAAAAGACACTCATGGTAATAATAATGTTCAACAGTGAAAGAATCAAAACAAAAGACAAATATAAAGTCTCTGGAAAGAAGTCTAAATATAGCCTGTTTACTTCACAAATATACACAATAGGAATAACATATTTAAAAATCTTTAATCAACCACAATTACTTGCTGGCAATAAACTTGGGGCACTTGAAGTAAATTATTCATTCCCAGTGTATAAATAATAGAATGTTGGGAGAGGATTTGTGATTTAGGATTAAAAAAAAGAAAGAAAGAAAGAAAAGGAATATTGTGGAAATACCTAAAGTTAAAAAGAAATAAGAAATGTACCTTTGGGAGAATGTTTAGAGAAAGTTGGAGGAAATATACGGAAAATAGGTAAATGAGCAAGCTCCCCTGAGTCTGTGAATGCAAGGGCAGCACATTCTGAGAATTTGCGATACTACTACAAATCATGGAAACGCATGCAATAAGTGTTTTAATAAGTCAAAATTTAGTCCTTCACGAGCTTTTATTTTGAAATGGTGGCAGTGTGTGCGGTCACAGTAAGTTAGAATTATGCTGGTGGCTTAGAGGTTCTTTCATCTCTGTCTGGAATCTATGTGGCTTTGCTATAGGTGAGCAGCAGAGACTTGCGGGGTGGAGGGTTGGGGGGCTGGACCACAGGGAGGGAGAAGTGAGCTGTGATAAGGCCAGGGATCTACGTGGCAGACCTTTGAAGTAAACTACCATAGGTATCTGTAACTGAGACAGTGGATGAGAACAAAATTTACAGCCCCTTTAGCACTCCTGCTCAGCCAGCGGGCAGGGACCACTCTGGCCAAGAAGGGCAAGACTGTGGAGGTATAGCTGGGTAGGAGGAGCTGACATTTGCTTCTGATCTGAGAGGCCAGAATGCACTGCAGAAAAGCAGTAGGGGTTGGAAGGACTTGGCTGATCTCCAGGCCAGAGCTGGTGACATCACAGAGCGTGGCGCTGACAGTGATGTCAACATCCATGACTCACCAACCCTAAAAGAACTCATCTTCCTCCAGGGGCCAGGCAAGTAACAGAAATGTGTGGCGTGGGTACAGTAACTGGCCAACTGGCAAGTGGATGTCCTAATGAGAGGTACCATATTGGAAGGAGGGCCCCATGCTGCCAGGTCCCCTTAATACTCAAGAGAAGTCAGAAATTAGGACTTGATTAGCAATAAATCCAGTTAAAAATCCAAAGGAGAAAAGACATAGTTTATAATGACAACAAAGGCACAGACTACTTAGAAATAAATTAGTGAGAAATGTTAAGATGGTTATGATAACTGACTTAAAAATAGAGAACAAGTAATGATGGATGAATGGTATGATACACCATACTCTTAATTGGGAAATTCAAGTTTGGGGACATATTAAATTCCTTCTCCAAAAATAAAATTTAGAATTTGAATGCAAATTTAGTTAATAATTCCAAGTGGATTTAAGGAAGAAAAGCTGACAGTCGAGGCTAAAGTTCTTAAAAAAAAATGTATACAAGTACACAAGTAAAATAATGAGGAGGGATATTTAAAGTAACAGTGTTAGGGATATTTCTGCAAAAGGATAAAATGGGACACCTCTAAGAGATATTAACATATATTATAATGCTATGGCAATTGAAAAAATTCAGAACTAGTGCATTAATAGACAGTATGAATTAAATAGAATAAATTTCAAGAACAGATGGAGATACTCAAGGGATTTCAGTATATTATAAAAATGATGTTTCAAATCAGTAGATTCAAGTACTGGAGTAATTAGCTAAACCATTAGAAGAGCTGGTATGGAGTCTTTGTTTTTGATATCAAAAGAAATTCCAGATGGATTAAACATTTTTAATTAAAAAAAAAGCAGAAAAAACCAAGATGGTTTAATCTCTTCTGATATTCAAGTGAGAAGAACTTTCTAAACAACTTTGGAAACCAAGAACAACCAAGGCCTATCAATGTAGCAAGGCAAAAAACATCCATTGTAAGAACAAAAATAACCCTCGCCTGAAACTTGCTCATGATCCTGAATTGCTCTCTCATATGCTTTCTTTTTTATTCATAAGTCACGTTTCTTGAAGAAGTCCCTACATTGATTATTTCTCTGCCATTCAAAGCTCTACATCTTCTGCGGCCCTCCCCACGGCACTGAAACTCATCTTGCTCACTGTTTGGTGGCTGCACATGCCAAAGCCAATGTACATTTTCAGTCCTTGTTTATTCGATTACTAGGCAGTTCTTTCCCACCCCAAGCAGCTTCTGACATGGACAGATATTTTCTTCTCTGTGGAATGTTTTTCTCTGTTGATTTTTGTTTACTTAAATAATTTTAAAAAACCAAGGTAGAAGTGTGTGTGTACATAAATACATACACACACACATTTTACTTTTTACTGCTGGATAATTAGTTTGCAATATTGTGATGGCTTTTCGCCATACATCAACATGCATCGGCCCCAGGTATACATCTGCCCCCTCCCTTTTGTACCCCTCCTCCCACCATACATATTTTTAAATACTAACTATAGTGCTTCTTATATTTTTCCCCATAGTCCTAGCAATTATGGGGACTTGAGCTCTTGCTTTTTTGCCTCCCTGTCCCTTTTCATTATGCTCCTTTCAGTCAATGTTCATATCCTTCTCAAGTAAGGTTATAGATGTCTCTTTGTAAACATATGTCTATGCCAATTTTCTCCCAACTGTTCTGCCGTTCTTCTCTTTGTGGATTTCTTTCACCTGCTTTACCCCTTAAATGCCCCCTTTCCCCAGGGCCTCCTCACCCATTCTCTGCTTGGCAGGCCTGAGTCATCCCCATGGCCTCAGCATTAGCTTCTCTGAGCTCCTGACTGGTGAATCCAACTTAATAATGGACCTCACCTCTCTGATGGCTCAGAGACACCTCATGGTCAAAATATCCAACTCAGAACTGTTTTCTCAAAACCAGCTCCTCTCCTTGTATTCCATCCAGGAGACTGATGAAAGTTATCTCAACAATTCTATTCCTCACCTGCCACACTAGTCATCTCTTTAACACCTATCAAATCTGTCTCCTTTACCTAAGACCATAGACTCCACTTAGGTGCTTTTGTCTGGTTACCTGGTGTGGACCCCTATATATCCTCTTCCCACCAAATATGGGCACCACCTAAAATATTATCTTTCATTCTGCTGTCAGAATAATTGGATCTTCTTCAATATACACATTATGCAATCTTCTTGCTTACGAATGTTCCAAAGTGTCTGTATTTCTTTAAGGATAAGTTCAGGTGTCCTGGCTAAGCACACCTGATATTTCTACCTATGGATCCTTTGTTCTAGCCATACCTTGTTTATGTGCTGTTCTCTGAACTGGCCAAGCTGTTTCATGTCTTTGTACTTGTGACTGCATTCATCTCTCTGCATGAAATGTCCATTATCTCTATCACACTTTTGATAGCTACCTTCCAATCACCCTTCCAAAATCTAATTTAATTATCACCGGTTCTAGGAAGTCTGATCTGTGCTCACCTGCTTAGCAATCCACCAAGGACTCGCAATCCCTCGCTTGGCCCTGGGAGGCCAGACACCAAGTTTTACTTGGCTTGGTATCCCCAGCAACTGCTACAGTGTTTGGCACAGCAGTTGCTCAATGTTTGTGAGACGGATGGATGGATGGATGAGTAAGTGATTAACAGATGAGAGGCCTACAAATCCTTCCCAACTGTCCAGCTGCCATTTTGGAATGTTCATCCTGCAAAGATGAGGAAGCATCAGTGCAGGTGGTAGGCAGAAACAGCGCAGAGACAGGGGGGTGGGGGAAGACAGGCCTGGTCCTGGAGAGCGTAGAGGATGCTTGGGTGGGTATAGCACTATAGAGGCAAAGAAAGGAGTAGGTACATGGAGATGTTGAAGAACCAGTGATATTAATTACAGTAAATTAAATGGAGAAAATAATACAGGAAGGTAAGATCAAGTGAACATGCAAAGATGGAAGACGCAGTACCAGAGACGAACAGAGCCCACTTCTTCACTTCCCTGCACTTCATTTATCGCACCTGCACACTGGGAACCTTATGTCCTGTGTCTGAGAAGTCAGGACCATATACTTAGGGAAGCAATTTTGGTTAACAACCCAGGATTACTCTAATAACCTCAAAGGATGGTGGGGAATTCACTACCAAAATAAAAGAATTTCACTCAAAAAAACACAGGCCATACAGAAACTGGTGGGGGCTGCTGGGGCAATGCTACTATTCACTCAGTTAACAGTTGTATTTGTGTGTGTTGAACTCCAAGCTCAAGTCACTTAAATGAATATTCATGAGGGTCCAGGCAGCAGTGCTCCAAGCTGAGGACTGGAAGGTCCAGAGGCCTGAGCGCTACTTCCAGCAGGCTCAGTCCAGTTCGGGAGAGACGCATGCACACAGCCACACACCATCAGGACACGAGTCAAGCGCTACTGATGCCGAGAAGAGAGTGGGGAATCTGTGTGCAGAGTTGAGGGCTCCTGCTGAGGCTCGGCAGGGATCCTTTCAGGTAGAAAAGAAGGGAAAAGTTCTTCCAGGCAGAGGGAAGTTCTAGTTCCCTTCATGGGGACCAGAGCTGGTAGCTGGTCACGAGTCCTAGCCAAGAAAGAGGGGATGCCTACAGGATTGGCTGTCAGCAGACGGTCCCCTTCAGCAGCTAAGATGCATAATTAAAAAGGTAGATGGTGCTACCATGAATGAGTAAACTGTGGGGATGAGCTCACAGGCGCTCTATGTTAACTTTCGAGCAACAAAAATCATTCAAAAGGCATTTGGAAATTCTATCTCCCATAAACCCAAAGAACGAAACATAGATTTCACTCTTGTTTCGGATACAGAATAACAGACTGCCTACACTTGGAAACTGATTAATTTTCTAATTCATTAGGAATTATGTGAATAATAGGAAACCAATTTAAAAAATCTAAAAAAAAATTGGGGGAGGGATAAATTAGGTGTTTGAGATTAGCAGATAAAAACTACTATATATAAAATAGATAAATGACAAAGTCCTACTGTATAGCCCAGGGAACTATATTCAACATCCTGTAATAAATCATAATGGGAAAGAAAAAAACTTAAAAATCTCTCTATAACCACTGTTATTTCATCCTGTCTTATGCAGGAGGGTGAGGCTGAATTATTATCTTTTAATATAGTTTCCTGCATGAAAACAGCAAGACCCTGTTGTTTATTTTATATAAAGTAGTTCAGTTCAGTTTGCTCAGTCGTGTCCAACTCTGCACACGCCAGGCCTCCCTGTCCATCACCAACTCCCGGAGTTTACTCAAGCCCACGTCCATCGAGTCGGTGATGCCATCCAGCCATCTCATCCTCTGTCGTCCCCATCTCCTCCTGCCCGCAATCCCTCCCAGCATCAGGGTCTTTTCCAAGGAGTCAACTCTTCACATGAGGTGGCCAAAGTATTGGAGTTTCAGCTTCAGCATCAGTCCCTTCAATGAACACCCAGGACTGATCTCCTTTAGGATGGACTGGTTGGATCTCCTTGCAGTCCAAGGGACTCTCTAGAGTCTTCTCCAATACCACAATTCAAAAGCACCAATTCTTTGGTGCTCATTTTCTTCACAGTCCAACTCTCACATCCATACATGACCACTGGAAAAACCATAGCCTTGACCAGACGGACCTTTGTTGACAAAGTAATGTATCTGCTTTTTAATATGCTATCTAGGTTGGTCATAACTTTCCTTCCAAGGAGTAAGCGTCTTTTAATTTCATGACTGCAATCACCATCTGCAGTGATTTTGGAGCCCCCCAAAAATAAAGTCTGACACTGTTTCCACTGTTTCCCCATCTATATCCCATGAAGTGATGGGACCAGATGCCATGATCTTAGTTTTCTGAATGTTGAGCTTTAAGCCAACTTTTTCACTCTCCTCTCACTTTCATCAAGAGGATTTTTATGTCCTGTTCACTTTCTGCCATAAGGGTGGTGTCATCTGCATATCTGAGGTTATTGATATTTCTCCCGGCAATTTTGATTCCAGCTTGTGCTTCTTCCAGCCCAGCATTTCTTGTACCTGTTAATCCCAAACTCCAAATTTATCCCCTTTCCCTTTCCTCCTCTGGTAACCGTAAGCTTGTTTTCTATGTCTGTGAGTCTGTTTCTGTTTTGTAAATAAGTTCACTGTATCATCTTTTTAGATTTCACAGATAAGTGATATATGATATTTGCCTTTCTCTGACTTACTTCACTTGGTATGATAATCTCTAGGTCCATCCATGAGAGGCTGAGTTATTTAGCTGGTAATTATTTTAATGAGACTATGGAATTCTAAAATTCTTATCAATTTCTCCCCAAAGCATGACCATATAACTTTTGCTTTCTATACCATTTATTTGACTACAGAAAAATAATTTTTTTCCAAGTTTTTTTGTGTTAAAATAACAAATGGTATTCTGCCCCATAATATTGTTGTTATTAATGCTGATAATGGCTCCAGTAAGAAATATTTACAATTATGACTCATTTTGGAATACAGATAATTGTCTTGTAGTCCTTTTGAAAATAAACAGAATAAAGATAGCTTCTACATAATGGACTGCAGCTACACCCTTAATTGAACCTGGTCATGAAACATAACAAAAGCAGAAATGAAATTCAAATCAGACTTCTTGCTGCAAAGCATTGTTGACTGAAGAAACTACAAGAGGAACCATTCAGAAGCAGATGCATTTCCACATATAATGTATATTCTTAAAAGCAATTATTTTATATATAGAATGTGACTTAATAAAAACCTCCCTCTACCTGCAGACTTATAAAGGAACTACAAAGGGGTGTCTCTGCAAACACACAAACCCGCATGCATAAATGCAAAACCTGTCAAAATCCTTTCCTGTTTTCCTAAGCTTAAAAAACTGTAATTCAATGCAATGGTGAGCTGAAAGGGCACAGATACAAAACATGTCCATTGTTAGCCTTCTATTAGATAAAAGTGTGTCATGCATAATAGAAAAGATGGTATTTCCAATGGAAATCTATTTTGAGATGCATTCATTTAAAGGCAACCGACAGCTCAAAATCAAGTTCAAGTGAAGAGAAAGAGAGCCCAAGCAAATACTACAGAAATGGACAAAGACATCCAAGAAGGAGGGAGCCTGTACTAAATCTTAATTCCAGACCAGCAAAACAGTTTCAAATTCAAGCCAGTGATTTGCCATGAGGTCACGTAAGGAATTAGGCAGAAACCACCAACCAGAAGCAATAGATAAAATGTCAAAGCAAGTGTGAGATGTGGAGGGGGTTGGGGGGACCCTGTGACCCTCGTTCCCATGGACTTCTTGCACAGGCTTGCTTACATGAGTCTGTTCAGGAGGAATCGGCCAACAGCTGTGCTGCATGGACTCCAGCCAGGGCTGAGTCACGTCTAATAATAGCTCTGAGTTCATCCTTAGACAACATGGTAAGAATCCTCTGAGAATTAATGGTGAAGATGTACCTCAATGAATATTCCATTTCACTGCTGTGTAATAAATTTTCAGCTTTGTACAACACAAATATTGACAAAGATACACACAGTCACCATATTTGAAAGCCTGATTGTATAATTTTATCTAGTAGAGAAAAATGGACTCCATTTCAATAGGCTAGAGAATAATTTGGTTCTATAATTGATGTTTTGGGGATCCAAAGCATGTTCCAATATATTTCATGCAACCCAAAATTTCACTAGTGACTTACTCATTTCAAGATATTCATAAAATAATCCCAGTTTGCCCATGGGCTGCAGATGGTAGTCTTGTTCCCATCGTGGGGTTATCTTTTCTGCTCCCGAAACGGTGTTACATCGTCCAAACACGTTCATGACCCAGCTGCCAAAAAGATCAAATTATCAGTCAGAATACTGTCAGACCAACAGCATAAAAGTATTACTGATATTTTGAGCTGAACACATCATCTTTCCAAGAATTCAATTTCTTGTTTTCATGCTAAATTTATTTTTATTTCTGCCTCTCTAACCCAAAATATTTTCAATAATAATATTGACTACATACCTGGTTTTATCACAAGTGTAACTATGATTTGTTCTCCTACCTCCTATTCATGTGGGCATTTTAGTTTTTTAAAAATACTTTTCCTCATTTGATTAACTTTAGCTGCCGCCCCCCACCCGCACCATTTTCCTGCTCTTATCCAAAGTGATCTTTCCAGCCTGAAAATTGCCAGAGAAAATAAAGAAAGCATAGAAGCCAGTGTGTATGTGTGTTCAGTCACTTCCGACTCTGGGCCTGACAAGAGTACTGGAGTGGGTTGCTGTGTCCTCCTCCAGGGGATCTTCCTGATGCAGGAAGATCAAACCTGCGTCTCTTGTGTAGCAGGAGGATTATTACCTGCTGAGCCTCATCCGGGAAGTCTGGAGGCCCGTGTGGTCCAGGGCAAAGAGAAAAGTAAGTCTGTTGATTGTGGGGGTTGGAGCCTAAGAGACCACAATGAGGATTTGGGCATTTTTTCACACTGAAGGAAGTGGGGAATCATTGAGGGCAACTGTGCAGAAAACTGACATACTTTGACTTTGGATAAGACAGATCCATGGCCCTATTTTCAGCTGAACAAATTAAAGACCAAAGCTGTGACATGCTTCCTCAAAGTCAGCGCAGAGCTCGGAGGAATCCTGGCCTCCACTGGTGGCCCAGGGCTCTGCCCCCAGTGCTGGAAGCTGCCCCGCGGAGCAGTCCCGTGTCTCCTCTTGGGTTATGTGTTTTTCTTTCTCAGAAGATTCTGGGCCAGCTAAATGCCCCCCACCCCACCCCTTTTTAATGGCAATTTCTCTTGAAAAGAAACTGGAAACAGTTGGCATTAAAACAAGGTGTGCATCTCTAGCGTGTAGGGCTGTGGTCCCCTGAAGTAACAGTTGGCTTGCGGTTTACTTGTCGAGTTCATCAGAAGATGTGCCACAACAGCAAATAATGTAGCATCTGGTTAAGCTCTGGCTGATTACACAGCACATTTATAAGGATTTCACTGTAAAGACCACTGGATGTGTTGCTCATGAACACCTGTATGTACGCATCCACCCACCTGCCCAACTAGAGTGTAGGATGTGGATTACAAATAGCTGACCAGGCTGGGTTTCCCACTGCTCCTGATCGCAGTGTTAACTGCTCACTGACACTTCCCCAGGCTTGCTAAGGGGAGATTTCTCTACGAGCAATGGTGCTCTTGGCTTCACCATCTTTCCCCACGTCTTTCTTCTCTGACATTAGGGGAAGAGCAGGAGGCTGTGGGAGTGGAGAGGGGAGATGGGTTCAGACATATCCCTGGATCTGAATCCAAACTTCATCTTTTATTCGTTATAACTTTAGTCAAGTTTACATAAAATGGGGTGATAAAACCCACACTGCCCAGGGTTGTTGTCAGGATGAAATGACTCAGAACAGATGAGGATTTAGCAAACTTCCTCCCCACCGTGTGAGATTTTCTTTTGACAAACAGGATAACTGGCTGAGGCCAACAGTAAATGAGGGCTAAGTTACTTAGAGCCTTGGCTCGCATCTCACTTCAGCACTTACAAGAATGACGTGGGGCGCTTGTTGATGGTGTTACTTCCGAGGCCACAACCCGGAGCTCTGTAATCAGTCAAGTCAGGTTTGGCCGGGAATGCACCGTTCTTCAGACATTCCAAGGGCCCTTGTGGTACACGCGGCAACGAAGACCACACACATCCATCTCCCTTCGTGACACCCAAACTCAAGATCACTGGGTTCTATTGGTTTAGTTTTTGCTCTGCCCTCACACTTTTAGCCTCAGCCTCTCGCAAAATCCTCTCCAGGCTCCAGAGAAACAGGTCCTTCACGGTCAGGGACCCAAATCCATCATGACTTGGATTCAGGATGAAACTTCTGTCCTGGCAGTCACTTGCATGACTAACTCATCTGGCGCTTGTTCCTTGTACTGTACTGCCTCCCACCACCAATCATATTAGGTCAAATCAGAAGTCCTGACTAGCTGGCTTTTCTGAGCGTCACACTGAGCCTCTTGTTCAGTCTGAGTTGAATCACTCATCTGTAGCAGGAAATCTTGAAGTCCATCTGTTATTGTTCGTGGTCTTTTGGGTTTTTCTATTGGTTTATGATTCTAGTATAGGAATATCAATTTAATTGCTCATGAGAATCACCTATAAAACTTTTAAAAAGTATAGACACACTGGATACTTCTTCCCCTGGTCAAGGCTGGGGAAAAAGATTCGTCCTCTAAGCATAGGTTACAAAGAAATTCTCTTAGGAATGGACCATGCATATTAGTCTAACACTATCATAAAAAATTGTCCTTTATTGAGTATTTACTACATGTAAACTGTGGTGTGAAACACTTTACACCTCATTTGGTCTTTGTCTCTTTATTACCACATTTTATCCATATATTATAGATCATGGTAATTTTGCTAATTTTGAATACAAGCATCCTTCACTATCTGAATCTATTTTACTCCTGAGTTTACTGTTCCTGGATTTTAAGACTGAGTGTGTAGAGTGAAGAATACCTGTACTTAGGATTCTCTCATTGTATGTCTCTGATTCATTCTCTAGTCAAATTATATCTTGATAAGAGATATTTCCTCTTGTAAAAAGTCTGCTTTTTCTTATTATCTAAATAGTGAATGTTCACTGTGAAAAATATAGAAAACATATAAAGGAAGAGAATTACAGCCATCCATTATCTAAACACCAAAAGACAATGCTAAGGCATTTTGGATGTTTAACTCTGTTTTTTTTTAAACATTTTATCATAAAATTTCTTCAGAGTGAGTAGCTTAATGCAGGAACTGTACTAGTTTTTTGTCAAGTACAGAATAAAATTCCCAGGAATGTCCAACTATCAAAATAGAAAGTGAGGCTGGGAAGGCCAAAGGGCTCTAGGCTTTTTCTCTGGGTCCAATGAACAATTCCATTAATTTACTGACATTTGTATTTGAAGCACATGAGTCACTCATTCACTCAGCTGGCTCTACTGAGGACCTACTAAATGCCACGTGGTGATGCATGTGCTAGCGAGATCTCCCCAAACCCCTAAAGGAAGCCTAGATCACAGCTTCATATGGCCTTTATCTGCTCTGCAAACCCTAGGCAAGGACCCCAAGTGGAGCTGAGGGTGGAAGCAGGTGAGTTTATGGTGAAATTCATTTCACGGGTCACTCAAACAGTAAAAAATCTGCCTGCAATGCAGGAGACACAGAAGAGATGTGGGTTCGATCCCTGGGTAGGGAAGATCCCCTGGAGGAGGGCATGGCAACCCACTCCAGCATTCTTGCTTAGAGAATCCCCGTGGACAGAGGAGCCTGGCGGGCTGCAGCACATGGGGTTGCAAAGAGTTGGACATGACTAAGCAACTAAGTATGCATGCTCCTTTTGACATATTTAAATGGTGTGAAAATAGCCACTAACTTTTCTACGTTTTCTTTCCCCTTTCTATGTGTTTTTGGAATAGGTGTAGTTCTGATAGCAAAAGTAACTGATATATCTCTGTTATGTTAGAATGTTGTATGAAAAAGGAAGGAAGGAAACTGGCGCCTATATAAAGAGCAGAAGCTATTCTCTAAATTGCCTAATTTTTTAAAAAACTAATTTATTTATTTGGCTATGCTTGGTATTAGCTGCAGCACATGGGATCTTTGATCTTCACTGTGTCATTCAGGACGTTTAGTGGCAGCATGTGGCATTTAGTTCCCTGACTAAGGATCAAAGCCTGACCCCCTGTATGGGAAGCATGGGATCTTAGCCACTGGACCACCAGGGAAGTCCCTAACTTACCTAACATTTAGCACTCCCAGTTTTCAAAGAAGGGAAACATAATTCAAAATACCCTACCTAAATATTCTAGGTGAGTAATAAAAATACCTGAAGGCAAAGTTCAGCTCACAAGAATTTACAATAATGTGCTTCCTTGAAGTGAAGGTATACGCAAACCACTGATACTATAATGTATCCTTTAATTTTAACTATTTCACATGAATAAGTTTCATTTTGTGTGAATTTCTCAGTACCGGTTTAGGAAATATACCTTCTCCTTGATTGTCTAAATCAGAAAGTAGCTCACTGATGAGTTATTCACAAACACTCAGTGTTAGGTAACTAACCTATTTCTTTCAGAAAATGCTTCATTTTTTTTTTGGTAATCTGAGTTAAGCTTTTCCTTTATTTGATACATTCATTTTCATAGGGAAACACAGTATTATTTGCACACGACCTACTTTTACTCATCTGGAAAAAATCTAACTATGAGCCCAAGGTAAGGGTTGTCTACTGCACAGCAGGGCAAAAAAGTATTCATTTCACAGCTAATATCAGAATCTGTTTTTGAGGGAGATGGTTGGAACTGGAGAAAAGAGGATGTCCTTATTTATAGACAGACCCTGATAATTCACACTGAAGATAGAAGATAAAAGCTCCAGTGAAGAAATGTGGAAGGACATGCTGAAACCCAAAAGGTTTTGCTCTACAAAAACAGAAAAGGAAAAAAAAAAAAAGAAACTAACTCCTCTACAAAGAGAATAAACAGAAACTTGGTAATGAGGGAGAGAGAAGAAAGGCTAGGAGAGGGAGAAGAAAGGATGAGAAGGAAGCTGGGTGTGGTGGCAGGAAGACAAGGCAGGATGCTAGTATTCTGGAGCCTACAGAGAAGGCTGATAAGAAACAACAACAATATTCTCAGTAGTACAGTGGGATGAAAGACTAAAGAGATGAAGTTCTGCATTTCGAGATTGAAGTTGCCTAAGTTTCTCCTCCATGCCCCAAACATCAATAAGGCCTGCTTGTGTGAGTGGCTTCGGAGGATGTTGAGAAGGTTGCATTCGACATTCAGGCTGGCAGGAGCAGAGTACCGGTGTGGGAGTGAGACAAGAGAGGGATCAACAGTTTTGTGACAACAGAAACTCAGAGCCAGAAATCATCTTGAAAAGGTTAGTGTGGCAGGCAGGAAAATATTCTTCCCAAAGATGTCCACATCCTAATCCCCAGAACATATGAACATTATGGGTGCAGATGCAGGTAAAGGTGCTAATCAGCTGACTCTATGAGAGACAAGACTTGATTATCCAGGTGGGCCCAGTGTACTCAAAGGGTAATTAAAAGTGGAAGATGGAGGCAGAAGAGAAGGTAGAGAGGGGTGTGGGAGGGAGATGTAACCACAGAAAAGAGTCAGAGACAGGCAACCTTGCTGGCTGTGAGATGTAGAAAAGAGGTCACAGGTCAAAGGATGCAAGTGGCCTCTAGGAGCTAGAAAAGGCAAAGATACAGATTACCCTAGAGCCTGGAGGAAACAGCCCTGCCAGCACCTTGATGTTAGCCCAGTGAGACCTCTGCAGACTTCTGAGTTTCAGGACCCACAGGATATTAATATTTAATTTATTATTTTGTGGGGCTCCCCCTACCCCATTTTCTTCCAATAACCATTAACTGTGGGGATATTTGTTAAAGCAGCAATAGAATACTAAGACAATAAGCTAAAATATGCAGAAATTGCAGATGGCATTGGACTTGTCCACTCTGATATGGGATTGGGTTTCACTGAAAAAGACAGAGTGACCTTAGCTAACATCTGTTCTCATTTCCAGGAAAAGAACTGTAAGTCAAAACCTTTGTAGTTATTTTCGACAACTGTCTCCTAAACTGCTACATAGCCTGGTGCTTTAGGACCATAAGTGAACCTCTGTTCTTAAAAGCACATGGATTTGGAGCCATGGGGTTTTTACATTTGAACCCACAGTAGCCTCTTATTGGCTATGTGAACTTGGGCAAATCATTTAACCTCATTAAGACATGGATTCTTCATCTGCAAAAGGGAAATAAAAATAAGGATTGTTTAGATGATTAAATGAGAGAGTATATAAAGCACTTTATACACTGGCTGGCACATACTTAGAACTCAACAAATTACTATTACTGATTTTTAAATGCATGTATAAAAGGTGGAGAAAGTTTTAACAAGCTGTGAAAAAACTTAGTCTGAAGCTCCAACAAGGGCCATCTCTCACAGGGCTATATGATCCATCAGCCTCCAAGGATGGGCTAATAGGCAGAAACTATAGCAGATGGGGATTTATGTTTAATAGAAAGGTTTTAAAATATCATTATTAAGCACTGGATACATGTACACTGTTGGTTGGATAATAAGCAGTCTACTTCACGTTAGAGGTGGGCGTGCAGCAATGTGGAAATGCGGGGAAGTGAGTGTGATGGGTGGGCCGTTCTATCCTCAAGATTACACGATTCGGTACTCACGGAAGTAACACTTCTTGTATGTTATTCCAGATTGCTTTTCCTCCCATGATGATTATCAGCTGCGTTGTCAGTTCAAAGAGACACCCACCTGGGTCACACTGAAATATTAAAAAGTCCCATTTAAATTTTAGATGGATCTAACATGAAAAAGTCAGTAATTTTATTTTTTTTCTGAAATTCTAGTTTAGGCTAAAAAAAGTGTAAGGAATATAAAATGAAAATGTAAGGAATATACTTTTTATTGGGCAACTAAGAGAAAACATGCAACAGCTTAAATTGCCAAGAGAATGTAACTCTATATTCACACCTCTTCATTTCTGTATTTTCCCAGCCAATAAACTGGATCTCCTGGATAACCCACAAATTTGCCCTTAAAGAATGCGATGTAGAAACACGAAGAGTAGTAGTTGACAAACTGGAATAAGAACATCTTCATGGTTAAGCTGTTCTCATAATCAGTCTGAGTCCTTGGGAGTTCTGTAGTTAAAAGAAATGTTAAGATTTAAAAATTGCTAACAGCTTTGAGACCCTAATCAAAATCATACTGATACATGAGTTAACATGATAAAAAAATACAATTCAGTTTCCATTTCAGCTGTTCTCAATTTCTTAATGTAGCTACAATGTTAATTCCAAGTTTACACATTGTTGAGTTTCTCCCCTAGGAGAAACAATATCCCAAAGGGCAGAAAAGTAGTCAACTGTTCCTTAAAATTTATAACCACAATGATGTCAAATAGGCAAGAACTATCCTCTTTTAATGTAAGACAGAAAATTAATGTTCAACAGTATGCTAAATGATATTCTCTTGTCTTCCTGAACTGCAAAAAGGTAGGTCTGTTGGAAAGGGAAACTTTGCTAGAAGCATTTGGGGGAAGACAAAATGGGTTATCTTTCGAGTTTAGAATTTAAATCAGTCTTATCATTTTCAGAAGATGACCACTGAACATAACACTTTGGAGAACGACCCAGCCACATGCAGTGTGTAGGAAGCACTTAACTCTGGCTACTAAGCAGCTGCCTGGGATGCAAGCCAGAAAGAAGAAAAATTTACAACAATTGCCAGAGCTGATGAGAGCAGAGCTATATTAATACGAACAGCGTGGGGGGAAGACGCATAACAATCTAATGGTTTGTCCTCTCGGCAATGCAGGAGCAGATTTACCACTGGCATCATGACCCTCTTCCACTTATTTGCAATAAAGAGACTATTTACTTTCAACAATAGGGTACATAATATAATGTAATTGAAAATATTATTCAGCACTGATCTGTTTACACAGAGCTTGGACATCATAATGACTGTCTTTGCTTTGTCCCTTTTACTAATGCAAACCTGGAGATAATTCATTTCTTGGACAGGCTGGAAAAATATGTTTACACTTGAAATTTTCTAAAAATTGTAACATACCGGAATTGGAATGCCTAAAATATACAGTCCCTGTTTTTACTTGGTTCTAAAAATGGCTTAGAAAAGACCCATGTTATAGATATATAGCAGGACCTTACCAAAGTTAGTAATCATGATTGCCACTTTCTCATATATAGTGTTCAGAATCATGATGATGATAAAGCTGATGAGGGAAGCAGTGATGGATGTGGCCATCTGTGGAGTTACATACTTCTGGATTGGGTCTGTTCCATTAGAGATCTTGCGAAGGTTTACAGAAAATATAACAAACACTGAGAGCCTGTAGACGATGATCCCAATAACGGAAGCAATGATCAACAGGATCTGAAAACACAATATATTAACACGGCAGTGTGAGACTCATCAATAATTATACTTTTACACTTAAAAACCGGCCCCATGCTGAAATGGACAACGTGCGTTGCAAAGTGGTGTAAATCTCACGTAAGTGTCACAAGAGGGGTGAAAACCAGACATGTTACACTTCAAAGAAAGCAGAAGGAATGATAGTAGTCAAAAGAACAGATGCACCCGCTAACGGAAGATGCTAACAGCAAGAGCCACTTTGAGCAGGGAAGGAGGGGTCTGTGGGAATTCTGTACTTTCTGTGACTTTTTCTGTAAGCCTGAAACAACTCTAAAAAAGAAGCCCTAATAAAAAGAGAGAAACAGAGAATCTTTACAGTATCTTCAAAATGGAGTACCTGGTAGCATGTTCTGGTAGAAGAAAAAAATCTGTGATCACAGAACCAGTGAAAATATCCCTTCTAGGTATGGAATTACTTAGGTTACAAAGGAGCGTTCTTTGTTTAGTTGTAGTCCATGGCAACCCACTCCAGTATTCTTGCCTGGAGAATCCCCAGGAACAGAGGAGCCTGGTGGGCTGCAGTCCATGGGGTCGCAGACAGCCAGACTCTATGGAGCGGCTAGGCACAGCACAGCATAGTCCACGAAAAGGGTACATTTCCTTCCAACAGAGAACCTCTCCCTGGCTCCGGGGGGTGGGCGAGCAGGTGCTGGCTGCTGCCTTCACTCCCACAGCTGAGGAGACCCTGAGGAGAACCAGCAAGGCTACAGAGGTGCCCCGAGGTCACCGCCAGAAACGGCAGCAGGCAGCTCTCCGCTGGCAGATGCTGCACACGCGTTTTACATTTGGATCTTGAGATCGTGAACCGGCAGTTATTCATACCTGCACCTGCACAAGATTCATTTTCTCAATCCATTGTCGTTTTGACTGCACAGACCTGAGATCAGTGGGGGTGTCTAACACAACAGACACTTCCTAGTGAGGTGGGTTTTCTCTGGCCACTGAACGGGGCATGAGGAAGGCCCCATTTTTAAACTGCGTTCCCTTTATCTACCTTCTTGGACACATTCCGGAAGCATGTATTCAGTGTCTCTGATGGCCTGTGATGACTGCCATGATAGAGAAGAGCTACAGTGAACGTGAATTTCAGGGCCAAGCAAGTCATGTCATGTTGTTTATCGTCACAGAGGGAAGCTGGTTTCTACCAGTCGGGGGCAGGAGAGGGAGTGATCACAAGCCTGGCTGCACTCCAGAGTTCGAATCCCAGCTCCTCCACCTCGTGCAGATTACTTAGTCTTTGGGGCATTCAATTGCCTCACCCACATAATGGGGGGGATAATAACAGCAACGCATCTATAGGATTACTGTGAGGCTTCAATGAGTTACTACAGGTAAAAACAGAGCATTAAGCCCAGGCACATGAAAAGCACTACCTAAATTTTAGCTATAATTAATGGTGCCCCAAAGTGTTAAAAAGATGTTTTCCTGACTTTTGAAGCCGTCAGTTTGTGGATGAAGCATTATACTTTCTCCTCTAATCTCTTTCATTATCTCCTTTTCTTCATAGCTAAGGCTTCACACTTGTGAAAGGAAATAATATTGTGTGTGTACATGTGAAAATTAGTTAAGGCTGAGAGAGATGTATTAGAGAAAGGATATCAAGTCTTCCTCTCTCAGCACAACACATACAGGCCATTGAAATAGTTCTTTTGTATTTTAAGTCTGCTAGTAATTTTTAAAATTCAGTAATCATTTAATAGTTGAGATTCTTTAAATGCTTACTATTGCTTCAGCATCCACATATTTTTAAAAAATCCTCACAACTGTCCTGTGAGGTAGGTAGTACTGTATTTCTTTTTACAGATGAGTAAAGAGCCACAAAGAGATGAAGCAATATGCCCCCAATTAAGCAACTAGTGAGAGAACTGAGATTCTCAGAGTCCAAGAAACAGGAAGTTCTATATGGCACTGCCTCCTACATGGTTGGATTCTAATTCATTTCAGAACTTTTACAAACTTGACATGTTTCCATTTTTCTTCAGAGCACTTAATGGGTTCAATACTTCTTAAAGAGACAGGGAAACTTTCCATTCTCCTTCCTCCAGTTTCTTACATTTCATTTTTTCTGATCATGACTTTAATGTATATTTTTAGAGCAAACTGGAAAGTACCCTGATTGGGGACACTGGTTGCTTCTGCTGCCCGGGATCTGTTCCCTGTCTTACAAGAGTACCTAGTTTTGTTTTAGGGTAAATAACCTCCGCTCTATTTTTATTCTAGTGGTTTAGGCTCTATTGCCCACCCTCCGTGGGCTCCAGATGTAGATGCCAGTTGGTTTGAGACAAGTAAGTCTCTCATCCTACTGGCTCAGCACCTGATCCAAGGATTGGCAAATAACCTACTAAGAGCCACCGAGATGTGAGGAGACAGTGCTACTGCCCACATGACAGATGAGCTTCCTCTGTCAACAGGGGAAACTGCAGATCTTTCTTGGCTTGGATGTGATGTGAGATCTGGAAAGCTGCAGCCATCTTGTGCCCATGAGGGATGCCTGGAAGATCTACACTGGGGGCCACTGGACACACAGTGAAGTCAGAACAAAACCAGCCTTGACATCATCTGGGCTACACTATCTATCCTTGACTGAAGTCATACCTCAGACATGAGATTTTTCAGTTGTAAGAACCAAGAAATCTCACCCATTCCCATTTTTTGATTATTGTTTAAACCAACTGGAGACTGATCTTCTGTCACCTAAAATTGAAAGACTCCAAATATCAAAATGAATAAAAGATAAAAATAGGAAAGAATGCATCTATATGTAGGCATAATTCCTTCAGAACTATGTGCTCTTTGCATATAAAAATTATTTTACATATTAACTTGGTTCCTAAACCCATCATAACATTTTTATAGGTCATAAAATATTTTTGTGGACATACTTTTTTATGGCTGTCCAATATTCTACTGTATGAAAGGTGGAAGGAGGACATTTTTGGCAGAGGTTTTATATATGTATATATAATATTTATATATCAACACAAATATTATATATATACATATATATATAATGTCTGATTAAATCCATGCTGACTTCTATCATTTTGAAATACTTCCTGATTAAAAGTTTTTAAAAGCTGAATTAGTAGATTAAAGCCTAAGAATATTTTTGACTTTTGATATATACTGCCAAACTGCTTCCTAAGAAGGCTAGAGCAGTGTATAAATCCAGTAGTCTAGGTATGAGAGATGATCACTTGGCACTTCATCCTTACAGAGCTTATCATTTGAGAGATGAAAAACTGTATTTCATTTTCATGTGCACTGATTTAATTACCACTGAGGTTTGACATCTGCCATTGTATTTTTTCCTTTCTGAATTGATATTCATCTCCTCTGCATTCTTAACTCCCGAGATTTTTGGTGTTATCTTAGAAGTGCTCTGAAGTCTTTATGTATTGAAGGAACTAGCGCTTTGTCCTATTTGTTGACAAGAAATGCTTTCCTCTGAAACTTCTTCCACATCTAGAAACTGTGTGTGTGTGTATATGTATCTCTCAATATTTACATCTAATTTTTTTAGGATGTTACTTTTTTTTAATGTTTCTGGAATTTATCACAGAATGTGGTTTAGAGTATGATTTCAATCTTTCCTTTCTTTTTTTCCCAAATAGCTAACAACTGCTTCATTGCCATTTACTGAATAACCTTTACTGATCTCCCTGATTTGTAATGCCTTCCTTTTCATATGTTAAATTATTATTGAGCTCATATCTGGGCTTCATGTCCTATTCTCTAACCTGGGTATCCTTGAGCTAATGTTGTGCCATGTGCTCAGTTGTGTCCGATTCTTTGTGACCCCATGGATGGTAGCTTGCCAGGCTCCTCTGTTCATGGAATTTTCCAGGCAAGAATACTGGGATGGGTTGCCATTTTCTTCTCCAGGGGGTCTTCCTCACCCAGGGATTGAATCTGTATCTCTTGTGCCTTCTGCATTGCAGGCAGACTCTTTACTGCTGAGCCAGCAGGTAAGTCTCTTGAGCTAATAAAACTCATTATGTTACTGATATGATTTTATTAATAATAAACCCCCAGAAGATGGACAGAAACAGCAAGGACCTAACAGAAGCAGAAGAGACTGAGAAAAGGTAGCAAGAACACACAAGATGAACTGTGCAAAATATTGAACTGTCTCAATTACCTGGATAACCATGACAGTGCGATCACTCACCTAGAGCCAGACATCCTGGAATGTGAAGTCAAGTGGATCTTAGGAAGCATTACCAGCAACAAAGCTAGTGGAGGTGATGGAATTCCAGTTGAGCTATGTCAAATCCTAAAAGATGACGCTGTGAAAGTACTGCACTCAAAATGCCAGAAAATTTGGAAAACTCAGCAGTGGCCACAGGACTGGAAGAGGTCAGCTTTCATTCCAATCCCAAAGGAAGGCAATGCCAAAGAATGTTCAAACTACTGCACAACTGCACCAATTTCACATGTTAGCAAGGAAATGCTTAAAATCCTTCAAGCTAGGCTTTAGCAGTAAGTGAACCAAGAACTTCCAGATGTACAAGCTGAATTTAGAAAAGGAAGAGGAACCAGAGAACAAATTGCCAACATCCACTGGATCACAGAAAAAGCAAGAGAGTTCCAGAAAAACATCTACTTTTGCTTCACTGAGTAGGCTAAAGCCTTTGACTATGTGGCTCACAACAAACTGTGGAAAATTCTTAAAAAGATGGGAATACCAGATCACTTACCTGTCTCCTGAGAAACCTATTTGTTGGTCAAGAAGCAACAGTTAGAACTGGACATGGAACAACAGAATGATTCAAAATTGGGGAAGGACTACGTCAAGGCTGTATATTGTCCTTCTACTTATTTAACTTATATGCAGAGTACATCATGCAAAATGCTGGGCTGGATGAATCACAAGATGGAATCAAGACTGCCAGGAAAAACAGCAACAGCCTCAGATATGCAGATGATACCCCTCTAATGGCAGAAAGCAAAGAACTAAAGCCTCTTGATGAGGGTGAAGGAGGAGAGTGAAAAAGCTAGCTTAAAACTCAACATTCATAAAACAGAGATCATGGCATCTGGTCCCATCACTTCATGGCAAATAGATGGGGAAATGTGGAAACTGTGACAGATTTAATTTTCTTGGGCTCCAAAATCACTGCAGATGGTGACTGCAGCCATGAAATTAAAAGACACTCACTCCTTGGAAGAAAAGCTATGATAAACCTAGACAGCGTATTTAAAAAGCAGAGACATCACACTGCCAACAAAGGTCCATACAGTCACAGCTATGGTTTCTCCAGGAGTCATGTATGAATGTGAGAGCTGGACCACAAAGAAGGCTGAGGGCCATAAAACTGATGCTTTTGAACTGCGGTGATGGAGAAGACTCTTGAGAGTCCCTTGGACTTCAAGGAGATTGAATCAGTCAATCCTAAAGGAAATCAACCCTGAATATTCATTGGAAGGACTGATGCTGAAGCAGAATCTCCAATACTTTGGCGACCTGATGGGAAGAGTTGACTCATTGGCAAAGATCCTAATAGTGAGAAAGACCGAGGGTAGGAGGAGAACAGGGTGACAGAGGATGAGATCGTTTGATGGCATCACTGACTCAGTGGACAGGAGTTTGAGCAACTCTGGGAGATGGTGAAAGACAGGGAAGCCTGGTGTGGTGCAGTTCATGGGGTCACATCGAGTCGGACAAAACTTAGTGACTGAGCAGCAACAATATGATTTTATTAATAATAAATACAAAATTACTTTAAGTTCTGATATTTTAGAAGCACTGTCTTTTTATCCAGAATCGTTTGAGACTTCTTTTATGTCTTTCAGAAGTTTTTATTTCTGATAGTTCCTATTACCTTTTTATTAAGGCTACTCTTGGAAAATTTTAGAATACTTGATGCCTCCCATCTGGTCTCTCTATTAGAAACTGGAAAACCTGAACCATGGATCTGATCTAAAGAATAGAGGTTAAAAAAAAGCTGGAAGAGACATGGGTACAGGAGTTACTGTGAAACCTTGAGAGCCACTCCATGTGGTGGCTTAATTGTTCTCTGGAATCAATCTTTTTTATGAGACTGCACAGTTTCCAGCTCGACTTTTCAGTTTTCTCAACATTTAAAATTAGATACTGAAAAAAACCTGTTGCAGATTCTTACCCAGAAAAAGACAGCACTGGCACAGAGGGTTACACGTATACATTTTCCCCACGTGGTAAAGGGAACACGCTCTTCTTCCTAATTAAAAAAGAAAAAAAAAAAGGCAATCAAAGGATTTCTCCAACAAAATGATTTTTCTCTTAATTGTTGCTGTATCCTAGGTTTAATTTTTTGTACATAAATGTTCACAGAAATTTATTCATAATAACACAAACTAGAAAAATCCCAATTGTCCATCATCAATCTATTCAAAGGATAAACAAATTGTAGTATATGTATGTAATGACAAGTTACTTAGTAAAAGGAGAACTAAGAATACACCAAACAGTTTGGGTGAATCTCACAAGGATTGTGATAATTAAAAGAAACTAGACACAGAAGACTACATCCTAGTCATTTTCATTTATATAAAAATTCCACAAAAAACAAGACTATAGGAAAAATCACTTTTTCCTACAGCTATAGGAAAAAATGATCAGTGCTTGTCAAGGTGAGGATTTCAGGGAGGATCTAGAATCCAAAATTATTAATATACAAGGGGACACTTGGCATAAAAGAATTGTTCTATGATTATGTTTGTGGTGGTGGTTACCTTCCTGTATATATATATATATATATATATATATACACACACACATATATATATATACACATATATATATATATATACACATATATATATATGCTTCAAAATTTATCATATTGTACATTTAAAGTTGATAAATACATACATACACATACGCGCGCGTGCACACACACACACACACACACACACAGTGAGTTTAAAGATAAAATCATTAACTTATCCCAGCCTCTATAAACAGCAATGATACAAAATTAACATTTGACTTCCAGGAACAATGCATTCGTGGGTGCTCTTAAAAATCACATGGTCTCAAAAGCCTAGACTTGATTTTTTTAAAAAATTAGTTTTCAAACTCAGCCTCCTTATTCAAAACTGCATGCTTTTTTTGGGGGGTGGTTAATAATTTCAAACATACACACAACATAACCAGTGCAGTATTTATTTTACTAACAGTTTCTGAAAAGGCAAGTGTGAATAACATACTGTTTAGCTGCTATGATTTGAGCTCAATAGTCTGGGTATCTGACAACGCTATTCCTGAGCCTGTCTCAGATTTCAGAAGTGACTGCAGTAATAGCAAAGAGCCTGTGCAGGACAGAAAGTTTCGCAGAGACCTGCAAGTACCAGGTATCCATTGTAAGTTTCCTGACTGAGTGTTTGTATTAGTAAAATGTAACTCTTGAGTTTTTAGCATTTCCATTTTATAGTTTATATGAATATATTGAGATTTTTTTAGAGACCCAATCAACCACATGATCATAGCTGCAAACATATACATGGCATTTCCTTTGTTCCAGGTGCTTTTCTAAGTAGGTTCTATTCATTAACTCCACCAGCTTACCACAATCATATGAGGAAACAACTCTCGTATTTCTGCTTTACAGCTGGCCAAACTATGGCACAGAGAAGTTAACCAATTTCTAATATCACTCAGCTTGTAAGGTGTTATGTTTGGATATGAATTCCATATGTTTTATTCCCCGGGCCTCACCATAACACTGCTGGCCTCTCTATACAATAGAGGATGTGTTTGCAATAAAAGCAAAGTAAGGAATAAGAAGGAAAAAAATGAACCTTCATCTTCAATTTTTTTACCAAGCAATGCTACAATGGAAATTTAACTTATTAGCTGGCAATTTTAAATTTAAAATGGGTAGGTTTAAATTTCTAAAATGTCTTTTCCTCAGTATGTTTCACACGTTGCCAATAACATGGGCATTTGCTTTTCAGGACTCAAAAACATCATGCACATCTGATTTTGTCTAAGTTTCAGCCTTCTTTTCTGAATGTACAATCTTTCACAAACACATGCTTTGACCCCCGTCTTTCATTGTAAACAAGAGAACTACTCATAATGGAAATTATTTGAAGCCTGTTACATTATAAGAAACAACTGTCACCTTCTGCTGGGTAACTGAACCTCATTTTTTTCCACTTATAAAATAAGGAGGTTGAACTGCTCTCTCCTGACCCTTTAAGTGCCAACATTCTGTAAATCTGCGATTCAATTTATAAAATCTATAGCTGGAGCCATTTTCAGATGCTCTTGGTAAAAAGCATTTTCTTTCCAAGAGTTACTCATATTCAAAACCTACTGTCCTTATACTGATGACTGCAAATACAATCAGCTCTAAATTTTCTATGTTGATGGAAAGAAGTAACAATGCAGATGATTTTAAAAAATCATCTTTCACTGACTTTGAAATGTTTATACAAAGAGATACAGAGTTTTATTTTTAAATTCTGCAGCAACAGTAAAAGCAGCATATTTACCTTTCTAGTTATACAAAATGCCTAGCATGGGGCCTGAATATAGCGGGACCTGAAAAACGTTTCCCCTTTTCATCCATTGTCCGATTTTAGGATAACAGCCACAGTACTCTGTGCACATCCCAACCAGAAGGGGGAGCAGTGACTGAGGCTTTAGTGTAAGACAAAGGGGCAGCTAGTCTATGATGAAAAGTGAGCTGTAGAGACTCCCCTGGCAGTCCAGTGGTTAGACTTTGCCTTCCAAGACATGGTGTGTGGGTTCCATCCCTGGTCAAGGAGCAAAGATCCTACATGCCTTGTGGCTAAAACACGAAAACATGAAACAGAAGCAATATTGTATCAAATTCAATAAAGGCTCAAAAAAAAAGAGAGGGCTGTAATAATGAAGGTACATGTGAAAAATTGAGAATCAACTATGAAAACCAATGTGTCTTTCCTTCTACATCACTATGATTATTTTTTTTACCGGTATGAAAAGATACAAATCAATACATCTTTTATATGTTTCTTTCAGAGTTTATGTATTTTTCATTTTACTGTTATTAAGAAAGAAAGGACCACAGTTGTCTCCTGTGTCCATTATTCTAAACAGTGCTCCTTCACTTTGGCTGTACATTAAGAATCACCAAAGAAGCTTTAAAAAAAATTAGTGCCAGAATGCACCCTATTCCACTGAGTACCATAAGTGCACATAGACAGAAGCTCGGCATCAACATTTTATAAGCTCTCTTTACCTGAGTGATCTCATTTATCACCACATGAGTACACTGTGCCTCATATTCTGGTCGGGGTTGTTCTTCCTGCTGTAACTCAACAGTGTCCCATTCATACTCAAGTTCTGCCTGGCGCCGCTTCCAAAACTCCAAAAACAAGGTTACTAACAAAGAGAAAGAAGAGCATTATGTGGATCTTCAAGGATCAGTGATGCTTCAGAAATCTGTACTGAATAATATTAATTACTCACAACACTTTTGTACATGGTCAATAAAATCCAGTTTTAAGTATAGATGACACTAATACTTAAAAGAGAAAAGTGAGCTAATGTTTGTTTTTTAAGGAAAATGTTGATAATGTATCCAACTTGTGAAACCAGGCTATAGCCCATGGGAAGGGTAGTAGTGTGATGGTCAGAAGGCATGTGATCGTGTCTACCACTAAAGCATCTGCTACTAGCACATTACTGCCAATAAAAAACACAGGCAACTATAATAATTCAAAGCAGTCCATGGCCCATCTTTTAGTCTGCTTCCCCTTGCAATTCCCTCTCCCTCATTTCCTCTAAAGGGCCTGGGGGATGAGAATGCTTTAGTGGTCCCCAAATCTTTATTTTCTACTGCCCAAGTCACCCCAATTAAAATAATATTCTTAAATGTGGAAATTTATTTTTCAAACTTGTATAAAGTATAAGTAAAATAATTTTTAGAAATCTTTATTATTTTTCAAGACTCGCCACTTCAAATACTAGACAGAAACAATACTACATGTTCATTGAAAATATGGTTTCAGGGTAAATCCCCTAGGCACTTCTTCCAATCAGACTGTTACCCATTAGCCCTTTCTACACAGCAATTGTGGAATAACCAGTTATACGCACAAATATTTCTGAGTCTCTACTGAGGGCTGAGAATAAAGAGAAAAAAAAGATACGGTCTCTGCTTCAAGGAGCTCCTAAGTGTTTAGGAAAGACAGTGAAGTGCCAGTTACAGTGGACTGTTAAGAGGGCTGTGATCTAGATAAGAGCTGGGTGGTCTGGGCGCAGAGTCACAGTGGATTGATAACAAGGCTGTCCCGGAGAAGGGGGCCTCTGGGGTGAGTTCTGAGATGCCACAGAGCTGATCAGGTGAAGGTAGAATGTTAAGGCCATTTCCCCCAGGAAGCTGTGTGTGCAAAGGCAAGACGCTAAAGAGACGGAGCACTACTTTCCAGGAAGTTCAAATAGTCTGGAACTGAGTCCAGAGTGGGGTGAGACGGGTGGGGCAGCCAGGTGGATAGATGGCAGGGGAATATCACAAAGGACTCTGTGCCTTAAAGATGGGGGAGACATCAAAGGCGGTCAAGAAGGATAGAGGCAGCTAGACCCGAGGGCAGGTCCGGGACGCTTCAGCTAGGAGGTGAGAGAAGATGGCGCTTTAGCAGGTAGACAGACTGGACGCAGGTGTGATGAAAGGGGAAGATCAGGGATGCTTGCTAGGCTTCTGGCTTTGGCAGTGTCCTGAATTCTAGCGTCATTCCCTGAAATAAGAAAGGCAGGAAAAGGAGCAAGTCTGAGAGAGAAGACAACTGATTCAGTTCTGATCAGCTGCCTGTGGGCCCCAGGAGAGATGTCTGGTAGGCAGATAAAAGTCTAGAACTCAGGAGAAAGACCCAGACTGAGCAGAGAATTTGTCCTGTTTCCACTGGCAACTGGGGCATGAGTGGATGAGCTCTGCATGGACTATGGAGGGGCAGTTCTCACCCTGGCTGCATGAGAAGCACTGAGAACTCTTAAAATGTTTTGAGCTTGGGCACCACCCTCAAGGTTCTGATTTCATCTGTCTGGCATGGTTTTTTGTCTTTGGAAAGCTCGACGGGGCAGTCAGGGTTGAGAATCAACCTGCAGAGAACAGGGAGCCTTTGGGTACAGGGCAAACAGAGGCGGCCTTGAAATCCTGCAGACCCTGCCACGGGCAGATGGACACGCAGGGGAAACCCCGGGATGTGCCATGAGGAACGTGCACGCAATGCTTCCCGACGGCGGGGACAGCAGAAATGCTCAAAATACCCACTTCCCGGCAATGCTTGTTCTGACTTCACTGATGTTCCAACAACAGTGAGTGAGAGTAGAGATAATCTGGACATTGGAATCAAGTCTGAATTCTGGTTGTGACAATCACTAGGTGTTTGACTACCGGTGACAATGCCTGCTTCCCTCTATGGAAAATGGAGGAAATAGGAACCAGCTTACAGGCTGTCCTGAGCTAAATGACATAACATCTATGAAGACCCTCATGACCCTCTGAGGTAACTTTTAGTACCATCCCCATTTTGTACATCAGGAAACAGAAGCACAGAAAACTTCAAATACTTGCCTGAGATAAGGAGTCAGGTATTGAAGCAAGGCATGCTTGGCTTCAGAGCGCAAGCCCTTCTTAAAACTAAGCCTAACTGCCTAAGCTGCCTGCTCCATAACCCGCCTCCCTCTGGTTCTGTTCCAGCACCCACTCTGCTGAGAGGTCATCACTGCTTGCCTGCCCAGTGTCTGATTCTCCTCGTCCAGGACGTAAAGCTAGTAACTTCCCTCTGTCCCAACCCTGCCTCTGTGGGTACACTAACCCTCATGATGCCACTGCTGTGATTACCTGAGGTTCACAAGCATATATGGGTGGCAGCCTGGCTTTTTGCCACAGATGCTGCTGTTAATGGAGGCAAAGAGCACAAAGTCAGTGGGGGAGGCCAATTCTCATCTCCTATCTGCTTGGGAAGCTAGGACGATTTCAGTCAGCCCCCAGAGAGGCTCCTGCTTTCAGGACAAGCCTTTCTCCTTCTACATGCCCTTCTCAGAATGAAAGAGGTGGTTCCTCATTTGTGGCTAAGACAGCATTTGTGACCGCTTGACCACAACCTTCAAAAACAGACCACTTTGCTGGAGCGGAAGCATGGTACCACACCTCAGCTACTCTATAGCCTCATCTGGCTCAGACCAGCCAGTGCAAGGGATCCACAGCGGCGCATGTTCCGCACAGAGAGCGATGCCTCCACCACCGAGAACCTGCCCAGCCATCGCGCTCTTGTCCCATCCAGGGGGAAATGAAGTATCCATGGGACAAAAGCCTTGAGGGCCCCAGGTAACTGTAGACTAAGCCATGACTGACTGGCCCTGCTCCCCATCTGACCCATGCTCTCCTCACACGCAGATACTCCAAAGAGAGATCCCAGCTTAGGGGAATGAGCCTACTCTCCTCAGGCTGCACATGAAGCAGAACCACCACCCACTTACTAAAGACCCCTGAGCTCACACCACCACATACCTCACCTAACAGAAGACCTTCCCTGCTTTTTAATTTGAGAATTCCACTGCCAACATTGCATTACACCTCCCACCCATGAAGTTCTTTACACTCTGTCTTCCCCTCTGCAGCTATGAAATCAGTCCAGGGCTAGTGTACACGCTGCAAAAAAGGCACACACTTTATTCCCTACGCTGATCTCCACTTGTGCACGTCACAATGGATAGCACTCACACACCCTGACCTTTGTTTGTTCCTGCGTTTGTCGTTTATGATGTCTGTGAGGGCAGGGATTTGGTTTTGCCCATGGCTGAAACACTAGCACGCAGCAGGCACTGGGTAAGCATTAGCTAAATGAATGTACTGTGGGAAGTCATTTCAGAAACTGGAGGACCGCCACTGCCTGGGACACCTGAAGGATGGAATCATCTACTTGGAGGGCCAAGCTAGCTCCAGCCACTCCCTGCTATGCCTGACCGTCCACTGTCTACCACTCTCTGCTCTGCCCATCTTGAGGGCCTGGAGGAGCTGAGAGGAGGATGTAACTGTTGATGGGTGAGGTTGTGGTGGCTCCGGCCCTTTGAGTGCTGGGAGTTATTCAAGACAGACTGAGAAAATATCACATGTACCATCCTGTCCCATGGTTCACTTGACCCAGGACCACTCACCAGGGGACATGCGGGCCCTTTCCACCCTCAAGAAAGGGACTGTGGGTGAGAAGATGGTATCTTTCCTTTAACAGCATCTTTATAAGGCTAGCCTGGAAAAAGCTCTCTAAAGCCACTTTGGATACTTTCCTTGTGTTTATGGAATCTCTCTAAATTTTGTCACTTTACTTGAAATGTAAGAAATACAGCTATTTTTGAAACTTTTACTGATTTTCAATGAAGAAAATTCTTATTTTCTTCCTCTGCTAAGTAAAGAAAATTACTTTTCACTTCATCTGAAAGAGCAGCTTACTTTCACGAAATTATATCTTCAAACATAACTTTTTGAAAGAAGTTTGTGATGCAGGACATGAAAGTCCTACTATGTTTTGGCACCTACAGGCAGGTGGATGAAATAACTAGGACTGATCTCATAAGGCTGGGTTTTCTTACTCCTGATTCAGAAAGAAGGGTCTGTACCTGCGTAGGTGAAGTAGGACCAAGGTTGTAGAACCATTATTTTCTAGCCCATTTCTCAGATTGCCAGATAAGATAGTGCAATTATATCAAGTAAATACTTGTGCATCCTTCTAAAAGTCTGTTACAACTTTATTACTGTTCCCTGCATTTTGTCATTGATTTAAGGGCTGGCGACAAGCAAAGTACCTACAGAGCTCTTATTCCGTGATTGTCACTTTTTGTCTTTGGGACCTCGGGTGATTTGCCGCATCTGCCTGAATGCCATTTTCCTCCTCTTTAAAATGGGAGCGTAACAGCCATTCATTTGCTCAGTAACAATCTAGTAGCAGTGCTAGCAGGAGCTGAGTTATGAAAATAAAACTCACAAAAAAGCAAGAGAAGCAATTTAATCGGTTGCCATGAGGAAAGGACAGTGGATACCCTTCCCCTTCCTCCCTGAACTTGAACATAAAAGTATGCATGTTTTTACCAAATCCTGAAGTTAAGCATTCTGAGTGGGCCAGAAATGGCCTGATGAAAAACAGTGAGTGGGTACCAAATCCTCGAAACCTTGGAGGGCTGCAGGAATGGGTGGCAGTTTCTTAGCTCCTCATTTCATAGAGCCAAGAACTCAGCAGGGTCCACGACAGACTCCACAGCCCAGCATAACCACTCAAAGTTTGGAGTCTCCTGGGCCACGTGGCTGCCTACTCACAGTGCTGCAAGTCCCGGAGTGAAAGCACAGGGCCCTGGGGTGACTGCATGTTGCCAGACAGGAATTTCCTGTTCTCTATCTTTTGTACTCTCTCTTTCTGCAATAAAACAACTGGCTGGACTCCAGAGGGGAGCACGGCACTTACATTCTCTGGCAAACCATATACCAGGCAGCTCTAGCTGACTGAGAGACAGGGCCCTTAAATGAACACAGAATAAGAAAAGAGAGAAGGCTGCCTAGGACCATGGGAACCAAAACCAGCTGGTCCTCTTAATCAGGATATTATACAGCTAAAGAAAATATCCATCTGATGGAAGATTCCAATACACAGTGTTGGTGGTTGTATACAGCAATGTCTAAGGACAAGGCAGACTCTGTAGCTGGGATCGTTCTGGTTGCTTTAACAGTTTGCTGCTAAAGGCCTGGCAGGTTTTACTGGGTCTTGAAACTATTCAGACTTCTGTAATCACTCACAAAGGCAGATGAGTTTGCTTAGCCTAGATTCCTACTTCCTAACTAAAAGACTACAAGGCTGAAGATACATTTCTCGGGATAAATAACAAGGTCATACTGTATTGTACAGGGAACTATATTCAATATACTGTGATAAACCATAATGGAAAAAAATATGAAAAATTCCTATATATGTATAATTGAATAACTGTACTGTACAGCAGAAATTAACACAATGTTATAAATCAGCTATATTTGAATAAATTTTAAAAATCATAATTCTAAACAAAAATACATCTCTCAAAACCCTCCTGCAGCTAGGATTCCAGATGTGGTTTTTAAAATGCCCATCAGATGCACCTGTGTGTCACTGACATCAGAAATGCAGCTGAATGGAGACAGAGGTGGTTATAGGAGTTGCATCATTTTGCTAGTGTGGATGCAGCCACAGAAGCAGAGACCTGAAATGAATAGTTGTAATAGTCATTTTCTGATCTCCAAGTGCAGCTAGTTAGGGTGATGGCTTCCTGAAATCCCCCTTCTTATGAGCTAGGTGCCTGAGCTTTTCTGGAAATCACTAGGCTCACCCTAGAACTCAAAGATGAAAATTAAAAATGGTGGCCATGCAGCCAAGAGGCTGGTGGGGAGCATCAAAGAGAAGTAGGTAAGAAACGACAAGGAATAGGGAGGGGAGAAGGCTTTCAGAACGTCTGCTTCCACTGGGAGTAGTTGGTGTTTAGCACTCTAGGAGTCAGCAGGAGCAGATGGACTGGCTTGGCCTAAAAGGGGGGATATTTTTCAAAGAAGTACATGATTTATGCGAAATTTATTATACAAGGTTTTCTACTTTCAACTTTTATAGTTTCCAGGGAGAAGAAAAATACTCTGCAACATACATCTGGGCACAAGAGATGCTACAGGAATATGATGATAGTGATATGAAAAACTTCAGTTTTGCAACTGCAGGCTTTCTGTAATGAGGTTCCCAGCAGTAGTTCTCATCAGGCAGAGGTAACAAGAAAAGCAATAAGGCATTTAAAATAAAAACTTCATCATACACACACATTTCCTTAAAGATATGGTGCCATGAGCAGGGCTGAAATGTTTTCTGCATTCTAAAATCTGCTGAAATAAAATCAGCAGCTCAATATGCCTGTCACTTCTATAAACATGGTGTAGTTTAATGATCACAGAAAGCAGAGCTGGTTAGGAAATTTGAAGTTTTTCTTTCTTGTCAAAGTTAGTAATTTTTGCTTCATTTTAGAAGTCTCTTTTAATTAGGGCTATCAGCATCTATTAACATACAGAGTTCAATAGATGCGTTTGAACTTTATAGATTATGAATTAGTGTTGAGACTGAGGTTTGGGCAATTTAGTTAAAACTGCTCTTGCCCAGATGTTCAGCACCCACCCTCTTACCAGGATTAAAAAAAATGAAAGGTGTATTTCACAGTGAAGGAGTACAGAGAATCTTAATACATGAACTTGATCTTTATTCTTCTGTGTGGCAAATATTAGCTACTGTTTGGTCTCCAGCCAAAATATGCTAAATGTCTGAATGACAATGTGACTTATTAGGTACATTTGGATCTTACAATTTACTTTATGCAGGAGTGGCAACTAATATCTCTTAAAAGTGTCCAAAGTAATTGGCCTGTCTATTTTGTGATTCATTTGGGGACCCTTCATAGGCACAACCACTGCAGAAGAGAAATACTGGCAGGGATACCTATAAACAACGGTATCTATATGTGAGTAGCATGTGTTGACAAGCTGTCTTCTCCAAAACAAGAGACTTAGTTCTGTTTCCTCCCCCACCTATCTATATCCTGAACTGTTTTACCCCAGACTCACACAATGAAACTGGAAATGCATTTATCTTCAAAAATGAACATTTTTTTTCTACTTATGGTAGAACATGTACATCAATTAAACATGTGAAAGCCTGTATAAAATGATAATTGCCTCATTACATTAATGATGCTCTTCAAGATAAATAATTATATAGTGTTAAGGCTTCTATATACAAATTATATTCTTGAGGATCACATCTGTCCTATTTATTAAACAGAAGGTTGTTATGATAAGAGTAGCAGCATGTATTTACTAACTAGTCGCTCAAACAGAAGTATATAAACAAGAAAGCTTACCTGGAATCCCCGTGTTGCTGCTCTTCCTGAACCCCAACCCCATGAAAATTAGGTTGGATCACAGCTAGGGATGCTACTACAACAGTGAACCGTGCCTCCCTGTATTACCTAAGCCCTTGAGCTGTCCTCCCATCTCTTCACATTGCTGTTGGGTTTGACCATGACATGCTTTGGTTGATGGAACATTTGCAAACTAGATGCAAATGTAGGCTTAAAAAGTGCTTGGTGTGCACTTTTCCTTTCCTGCTTTTCTTTGGAACTCTGAACTGCCATGTGAAGAATGCTGGTCCAGCTCCTGGAGGATGAGAAACCATGCAGACCAAGACAAGGCGGCCCAGTTGAGCCCCGTACACCAACCCTGCCTGGCGAACTTCCCACCTGACACAGAGAACTGTGAGGAATAATACGTGTGGGTTTTAAGCTACTACATTTTGAGGTAGTTTTTTTATGCAGTAATTGAAACAATGGCCTTAAGAATTATAAATGTGGAGTTCCAGGGGAGCTGAAGCTTGGGCAATCCAAGAGACTAAAAGTGGGTTGCTTTGATAGTCTATATATATAAAACCGTATAAAGATACTAAGTTCAGTACTTATGTAATTTTAGGGTTTTTGTCTTTTTTCAGTTAAGAGGCAAAAGGAAACTGAAAAAAAATGAATATAACTTACCCCACACCCCCATAAATACTGCAAAGACTAGGGTTCCAAAACTGTCAAAGATGCACAATTTCTGTAAAATACAATAATGACATTTACATGAATTATGTTCTTCACCTACTAGAATTCATCAAATATGCACTGCTTTGTATATCTTACAGTCTGGAAATTTCTTTTAAACCTGTTACCTAGTTTGACAATCACCATATCTACTACATACTTACAGACGAGATTTCTCATTCTCCTGAAAGCACACAGCCTTTACCAGACTACATTTTCCAAAGGAATCTTTCTGTGTCTTGATAAAGAAATAAGCACAGCTGTTAAGATTCCATTTTGTTGAAAGCTTCTAACATACTTTTGAATAATAGCCTCTTTTTATGGACTATCATAGTGAATTTGAGGAAAGAGTATGGCCCTAAAAGTACAATGAACTCCAAACAAACTTTGAGATTTATGATTTGCATCTTATTATCCCACCCTGGTCAGAGGGCAAGTTCCCGAATTCCTGGTTTTCTTGTTAAGAGAAGCACAAAACTGGGGTTTACTTTGAGATGGCTCTCCTCCAGAGCTCGTTTTCCTCAAATCCAATGATGACTTTTATATCATGGCTGACAGAAGCTTTCATCAGGATAAAGATGCAAAAGTGCTTTTGCTGATATTACAAAGGGTACAATGATCATGAGTGAATATATTACATGCTCTATTTATTAGCTTACTAACTTTCAAATTTTTGCTAATTGTCTCCCTCTATTAATTCCTGAAAAATTTTCCAATTAGCTACCAATTTTTCATCAGTGAGCATTTTTATATCTCCTTAAAAGGTCTATAAAGTTAGTGGAAAAAGTGGCAAACACAATATCAACTTTATGAAAGATCTTTTGAAAAGTAAAGAAGATATGCCAGAAAAGGAAGCTATAGGCTAAAAATAAATAAATAAAGAGCAAACTTTTCAGTGTTAAAGAAAATTCAAAGCTGCTTCTAAGTAAAAAACTTGACTTTTTCAAGGTTCTTTCTGGGTTGCCCTTATACTGATGCAAAATGAATAAACTTCCATCTAAATAAAATATAAGTTAATGTTATTTTTGTAAAATAATATCCACCTACCCATCTTCTTATATATCCTTTTCCAAATCATGTCGATGCCCCTCAATCACACATATATTTCCTGAGCAGGAAGAATAATCCCAAATTCATTCAATTACTCCTCTCAAAAATCCAGCTCAAGGAAGACAGAATTAATAAAAGAGTGATCAATCTGGGGAACAGTGCTCCACACCTACTCTGTCCTGGGATTACACAGAACACAGATTTCAAATCTTTTATCTTTGACTCTCTTGAACTATCTTTTTCAAGCTCTCTTATAATGTCATGTCTTATCCTTTACTGAAAAATTATTATAGGAAAAGTCCTATGAAATACAGTTCTGCGTGTTATAATGTTATTATTGAAGATTCTGTCCAGTGTTACTTCTCTTCTAGGAATCAATGCAAACCTCTCTCTGTGATACCTCCCTATTTGCCCTGATGCCTCTACCCTCCCACTCCAGAAAGAGAAAATCCTACTATGCTGACAAAAAGCCACTGCCAGTACCTCTGTCAATACCAGAGAGGTGGGAGGGAAAGGAGCAGCAAGAAAAGGCAAGTTTGCTGCTAATGCCAAACTCAGTGCAGCTGCTGAGCTCGAGATAAGAGATGTGCCCTGCACTCCTATGAGGGAGAGTTAGGTGGCTTGGAGGAAGTTACCATTTTTGCCATATGGGTAAGAAACGAGGAACTGAAAGTATAAGATGGTTGGCTTCTCTGCTCTACATGCCCCAGAAACAACACGGAAGCAGGAAGTAAGGGGGGAAGATAAGCGAAGAGTTTTCTTGGTAAGAAGCTTAGCTTACCAAGCTTCGCTTGGCAGGATGGCAGAGACGGAAAGCTGGCTGTGTTGACAGTGGCCCAGAGTCAGCATACTGCTTTAGTCATGTGGAGCAGGAAGGCAGGGAGCTATACATGCGGGCATGATGATTTTAAGTGGAGGACAGAAATCTGGAAAAGTTAGAATCTAGAAAAGTGGCAATTTGCTATGCTTTCTTCCTGCAAAGGAACAAAATCAAATTTTTATATACCAATTCATTTCAAAGACCTAAATATAACTTAACCATATTTCCTCTTTATCTTGACAGCTAAAAAGCTAAGAACTTTATTTAATGCTCAGTCACAAAACCAGTATCAATCCTGATTATTTCCATAACTGTTTCTTCATTTTCTTGATCCTGATTATCTATGTCTAATTTGTTAATAATTCTGGCATACATGTCAACTAGTGAATATTCCATTGCTTTCCAAAAGGAAAGAAATGACTATAAAATGTATAAATGAAGAAATGATTGAATTAACCAACAAAAAGGAAAGGTGCTTCTCTTTTTTCCTTTTTTACTTTATTTTTTCATTTCATTCTTTTACTTATATTCTTTTTAATTTTTTTTTCATTTATTTTTATTAGTTGGAGGCTAATTACTTCACAACATTTCAGTGGGTTTTGTCATACATTGACATGAATCAGCCATGGAGTTACATGTATTCCCCATCCCGATCCCCCCTCCCACCTCCCTCTCCACCCGATTCATTCTTTTACTTATATTCTTTTATATGCTTCCCTCCCTTTGTAAATCACTCTGAAAAGACTCAAAGGATTTTTTTTTGAAGCTGGAAGAGAATGATTCACTTTTTTCCCCCAAAACATGAGAGCATGAAAATTTCTTAAGGAAAAAGGAATTTCCATTTGTACTTTGTGGAGTCAGTTCGCCTCTGGTGTCATCCCTTGCACTTACCTTGAATCCTGTGGCCTGGGGGCACACACTAACTAAGGGCCTTTACGAGTCAGCAGTACTGGAAGGAAGCTTCTCTCTCACTACCTCCAAGTCTTCCACTTTGAGTGATCTATGATGGGCATTTACAGTCTAGAACTTGTGTTGGCTGAAGGGGAGTGGGCGATGAAATCTAATTTAACTCATAAAGTATAAAAATACATGTGTTGACAATACCCTGCGATCCTCTTAATTAAGTGGTGGAGCAGTTTTTCAAACTGAGTTCAATTCAAGGGTGAAGTGCCTGGTCCTACAGTCAGCCAGTGAGGAAGAAGGTAATAGCAAGGAAGGCAGAGGTACTGTCATTTTCTGGCTTGTCTGTTACTAGGCAGGTGGTTGAGCAAATTATTCAATCCCTCAGATCCAGTGTTTTAATCTGTAAAATAGAGGTAACATCTGTTCTGCCTGCCTCACAGCACTGTTTTGTGAGTCCAGTGATAATACAGGTTTGAGCATAAGTTTGCAAAGTCTAAACGATAAAGTAGCATCACTATATTAGCTATATTAGTGAATATTCTATAATATAGAATACTGTATTAGTATTCAGTTAAAGTAAGACTTACATGCAGCAGATCAGAAGCAGATCATAGAAATATTCCTAAACTTTCACAGCAGAATGAGGGGACAGAGAGGTCAAGACAGGGAAGAATTCTATGAAGGACAAAGTTGTCAGGAAAACCTTCTGAAGCAAGCCAACCGTCTTTCTTCCTGTCTAGCCTTTCTGGCATGCCTTTCAGGAAGCTCCCTCCAGTCTCAATGCTTTTGCTAAACCTCCTGGATTTTAAGAAGTCATATAGCTCAAGACCATCTATCTGCATGTGTAAGGGGAACCAGATGTGTTTGGTGGGAATGTTTAGAGACAAAGTGAATATCTGCTACCATTTGAAGACAAAAACTTTCTTATGCATTTTTATAAATACATTCTAAATCTGATCTGCAAAGTCTTTTAAAATCCAAGGAGAGTTTCAGCATACTTTCAAAGTGGAAAAACTAGTACAGATTTCAGGTTTCCATTCACTTGAATTATCACTTGAATTAAGGAAAATACTTATAACAGTAAACCTATTAAATAGTATTTATGAGATAAGTCAGGTTTGAGATATCTGCTTTGATTACTTGAAATACTCAAGCAGTTTCAATTCCACAGTTCTTCACTGACCTTTCAGGAGATTATTGATAAGGCTTTTAATTTCAATGTATTATTTATAAACAAGGAATAACACAAGTATTTTATATCTATCTTTGAAAATGAAGGCTTAGCTGAAAATTACCTTTCTAAATTCAAGAGGAAAAAAATTTAAGCACTATGTTGTATTAAAATTATTAGAAGGAAAAAAAGCTTTCATTACTTGTAAATGTTTGAAAAAAATACCTTTGAGGACTCGCAAGTAACATTGAGTGACCAGAATGGACACTCATTATCACATTGAGGACACATTATGATCTGGCCACCAATATCAGGATCACAAACTTCTTTGCTGAAGAAAAGAGAAAAATAAAGTTTAATTTTTAAAAATTTAATGAACAAGACTTTTTATCAGAATGATAAGATCCAACATCCATTCATGATAAAAAACTAAACTTAAACTCTTATAAAACTAGGAGTGGAAATGAACTTCATTAACCTGATAAAATCTTGCTTCATAAAACCTATAAAAAACATTATACTTAATAGTAAAAGGCTGAAAGTATTTCCTTTACATCAGAAACAAGATAATATGTCCCACTATCACTGTTTCTTTTCACTGGTTGTGATATCACTGCTAACATAGTTAGTAAAACAACAAACAAACAAACAAAAAAGCAAAGACAGGGGAATGGCAAGGAAAAAAACTGCTATCCCTAATAAATCACATAATTGTTTATACGGACAACTCAATAAAACTTGCAGATAGATTATGAGAATAAATGAATTTAGTAAGTTTGCTGGACACAAAATCGGTATACAATAGATATATGTAGGGTCACAAAAAAGAAATTGTGTCTCTAAAGACCTGTCACAGTTAAGAATTTTAATATTTTATAACTGTTTTTCAACAACTTAAAAATATGAAGAGCCTAGAAACAAAAATCTAATTCAAAATGTACAAAATTTATATGGAGAAAATGAGAAAACTGTTGTAAAAGAGTGAAGAACCTATATAAATAAGTAAATTTTCATGTTCATAATTTGGAAGAGTCAATACTTGAAGACGTCATTTCTCCCTTATTTGAGCTATAAATTTAATGGAAAAGTAAAGACTCAGAACCGTCAAGACATCTCCTAAACAACAAGGTGCTAGTGGGGTTGTTGTTCAGTCGCTAAGTCCTATCTGACTCTTGTGACCCCACAGACTGTAGCCCACCAACCTCTATTCATGAGATTTTTCAGACAAGAATACTGGAGTGGGTTGCCATTTCCTTCTCCAGGGGATCTTCTCTCAACCCAGGGATCAAACCCACATCTCCTGAATTGGCAAGCAGATTCTTTACCACTGAACCACGTGGGAAGCGCTTTAAGTTAAGAAAAACTGAGCAAGAGAGAAAAATCAGCAAGAGACCTCTGCGTACACCAAAACTGATGTATAACAGGCAGCATCGACCCAGCAAACCAGTAACGTAAAAACAGATGTTTGAATAAATAGGGCTGCTGCAGTGGAATATCCATATAGAACAAGGGGAAAGTGAACCCCTAAATCCTACCATATATAAATCAATTCCAGGTAGAAAATAAAACTGCAACAGTACCAACTTACAGAAGAGTATCTAGATAACCTTGGGGTAAAGGAAACTACTAATAAAGAAAAACAAAAGAGCATAAACCATAAAGAAAAATATTAATACATTCAAAATCTTTTAAAAGTAAGAACCTCATTAAAGTACTCCAAAGAGAGGGGGAAAAAATAGCCACAGACTGGTAGAAGTTTTGCAACATACAGGAATGACAAAGGACTAGTCATAAGAATATTTTAAAAACTCCAGCAAGTTAATAAGAAAAACCCAGCAAACTATTAGTAACAACAGGTTGCACACAGCTTACTCTAGGAGAAGCTATGCAGATGAACTCCTATGTGAATGGGATTGGAATTGCAGAATTAGTTAGCCCTGCATATAACTCAGTAAAAAATAACTGGGCATGAGAAACACTTCAAGAATATCTAAGTAAAGATCATGGAAAACATGCTCCTCCACAAAGCAAAGAACTTGACAAAATCTGTCAAAATTAACCTCTGCAGAACTGCGGAAGCTAAACAAAGGTTTCCAATAGTCTGAGAAGTGTTTTTTTGAGAAAAAATAACTAAATTTTTTCCATAAAATAGTGAGCCTTGTGGCATTTTAACTTGGCTTATCCCTATCCCCAAAACCTCAGCTTCATGGTGCCCTTTAAAACCAACAGTCTCACAACCAAGGTAGCCTCGGTTCAGTCCACTTCAGTCGCTCAGTCATGTCCGACTCTGTGACCCCCATGGACTGCAGCACGCCAGGCTTCCTTGTCCATCACCAACTCCCAGAATTGACTCAAACTCATGTTCATTGAGTCAGTGATGCCATCCAACCATCTCATCCTTGTCATCCCCTTCTCCTCCCACCTTCAATCTTTCTCAGCATCAGGGTCTTTTCCAATGAGTCAGTTCTTCGCATTAGGTGGCCAAAGTATTGGAGTTTCAGCTTCAGCATCAGTCCTTCCAATGAATATTCAGGACTGATTTCCTTTAGGATGGACTGGTTGGATCTCCTTGCAGTCCAAGGGACTCTCAAGAATCTTCTCCAATACCACAGTTCAAAAGCATCAATTCTTTGGCACTCAGCTTTCTTTACAGTTCAACTCTCACATCCATACATGACTACTGCAAACACCACAGCCTTGACTAGATGGACCTTTGCTGGCAAAGTAATGTCTCTGCTTTTTAATATGCTGTCTAGGTTGGTCATAGCTTTTCTTCCAAGGAGCAAGTGTCTTTTAATTTCATGGTTGCACTCACGATCTGCAGTGATTTTGGAGCCCAAGAAAATAAAAGTCTGTCACTGTTTCCATTGTTTCCCCATCTATTTGCCATGAAGAGATGGGATTGGATGCCATGACCTTCTTTTTTTGAATATTGAGTTTTAAGCCAGCTTATTCACTCTCCTCTTTCATTTTCATCAAGAGGTTCTTTAGTTCTTCTTTGCTTTCTGCCATAAGGGTGGTATCATCTGCATATCTGAGATTATTGATATTTCTCCCGTCAATCTTGATTCCAGCTTGTGCTTCATCCAGCCTGGCATTTCTCATGATGTACTCTGCATATAAGTTAAATAAGCAGGCTGACAATATATAGCCTTGACATATTCCTTTACTGATTTGGAACCAGTCTGTTGTTCCATGTCCAGTTCTAACTGTTGCTTCTTGACCTGCATACAAATTTCTCAGGAGGTAGGTCGGGGGTCTGGTATTCCCATCTCCTTAAGAATTTTCCATAGCTTGTTGTGATCCACACAGTCAAAGGCTTTGGCATAGTCAATAAAGCAGAAGTAGATGTTTTTCTGGAACTCTCTTTCTTTTTCAATGATCCAGTGGATGTTGGTGATTGATCTCTGGTTCCTCTGCCTTTTCTAAATCCAATTTAAACATCTGGAAGTTCATGGTTCATGTACTGTTGAAGCCTGGCTGGGATAATTTTGAGCATTTTTTTGCTTGCGTGTTGAGATGAGTGCAATTGTGCAGTAGTTTGAACAAGGTAGCCTAAGAAGCTACTGACGGGGCAGAAGTGGTTTGAAGTTACCCATTTCCAGAGAGCTGTCACTATTTGACCTATCTCAAGCTCATACTGTACAAACAGCCCTATCCCCAGGGTATCTGTTGAAAGCAATTACCAGGAACTAAATAATTCCATTATATTACAATTGCTTGAGGCAGTGATATAGAGGCTAACAAGATGCCGATTAGAAAACTTAGAAGGGAAAACTGGATAATGAGATGTTCTAGGAGTAGGTAAAGGGTTAAAAAGCTCCAACAAATACCTATAATTGTAGACAGTGCATATGGCCAGGAAAGACCTGAGAAAACCTGCATCTCTCAACTCTGGCTGACCTTAAGGTTCTGCATAAGCAAGGAGTAATGGCTAAGGAAGCGCTCCCAACTGCCTGATGGAGTGCTGAAGGCATTCCCCAACATGCAAACAGAGAACCACCAGCAAAGGCTGAAAAAAATGATTGATTCCAGGCATTTAAAGAAATCACTGTCCAATCATTAGCTGATAACTAAGTTTTTGTATACAGATCTCATGGCCATGCATGATAAAGAATATAGACTTTACAGAATTTGTTCAGGAAACTAAATAAATACTATCGTCAGCAGCAATGACAACACAGAAGCAACAATAAGCTCTGAGGAGGAGTAAAATCTGGTTTTCAGATTGGCATTATAACATTATAATATTTAAAATGCCCAGTTTTCAACAAAAAATTACAAGATACACAAAGAAACAGAAAAGTTTGGCCATGACACAGGGTGAAAAAGAAGCCAACAGAAACTCCCTGAGGATGTCCAGAAGCTGGACATACTAAATGAATACACAAATAAGCAATTATACATATGTTCAAAGAACTAATAGAAATCATACCTAAAGATATGAAGTATGTGAGCATCTCATTGTACAAAGAATATGAATAGATAAAAATTACTTGAAGACCAACTAGAAATTCTAGAGATACAAACATAATGAGTAAAACAAAAAATTCACTAGAGAGGTTCCTCTGCAGAATGAACTGGATAAAGAAAAAGTCAGCTAACTTAACATTAGGTCTATTGAGATTATCAAGTCTGAGAATCACGAAGAATAAAGAAATGACAAAAAAAGAATGTAGCCTCAGAGATGAGTGGGACACCATTAAAAATACACATAATAGGAGAGCCAGAAGGAATGAGAGAAAGAGGCAGAAAGAATATGTGAAGAAATAATGGCTGAAGAACTTCCAAAATCTGATGAAAGCATTAATTTGTACATCTAAGAAGTTCAACAGACTCAAAGTAGAATAAACTCAGAGAAATCCAAACATAAGCACATCAGACTCAGTGTATCAAAAGTCAAGAATAAAGAGAATTTTGATAGTCGAACAGAAAAATCATTCCACATATACAAAGACTCTTCAGTAAGATAAGCAGTTGATTTCTAATCAGAAACCATGGAAACCAGAAGGCAGTTGGATGATATTGTCAAAATGCTGAAAAGGAAACAAATGTCAACCAAACGTTCTATATGCTGCAAAACTATTCTTCAAAAACAGAGAAGTTATGACACTCCTACAAAAATAAAATCTGAAAGACTCCTTTTCTAGCAGACCTTCCCTACAAGAAATACTAAGAAGAATCCTTCAGGCTTAAATGAAAGTACACTCGGCAGTAAGTCAAACACACTTGAAAAATTAAAGATCGCTGGCAGAGGTAACTACACAGGTTAAAAAACATATATCATATATATAAATACATTTTTACATAATATATATTTATATATACTAA